TGCAAACTGTGTAATATCATTTGTAAAATTGTATGTTTTCAACAAGTTAATGATAATGTAATAAGCACGAACGAGCATGAATATATGCGATGTTGTATGCCATTTGTAAAATGTTATTGAAAAAGCTTACAGAATAGAATTGATCTAAATTGAATCGGACGATGAGAAATTAGCCCGTTCAAGAGATGGCTATAGTTCACACTTTTCCAGGTAAACCACAGGGGTTCTTCGTTGGGGTTTTACTGGCGCATCCTTTGAAATAACTGACCGTTTGCACTCATATTATAAATATTGTTTTTATTCAACAAATATTGTGAACTGAATTGTTACACTCTGATTATTATAATAATCACTGAAGGTGGTTATTGTTTGTTTGTGATTTTAAATAGGGATAAATATTCTATCACGGATTCAAATGCGAAATAAGTCCTACGTGTTATGATTTATAACCTCTGTGTAGGCTACAACACAAACCTATATATTCATGTCTGTACGGGTCTCCGAGTACCTACTTATGGTACTAATGGGGGGGGGAGGGGGGGGGGTTGTTGTTAATATGGTAATGTGAGATTTTCCCGATGTACACAAATACAAAAATAGAATGTAACAGTGCACAACCGATCTCAAAAATATTGTTAAGATTAGCTATACTCGTTTAACTGTTTTGGCACACGCGCAAGTCAGCAGGAAAAAAAATTATCTTTCTATCGACGTATTATTCATAACAATCGCTCTGTTGTAAACTGTATAAAACAACGCCTGAATGCCGACCAAAAATAAATTCGTGGATAGATTGTCTGAACCTATCGGACTAGATAAACACCGCATGCTACACACATGCGACATTTACATGTATACATTCCTGACACATAGGTGTAAATCAATATCTAATCAATATGCAGGACTTTAAAAGTCAGTGACATAAGCAAACTTTTTTTTTTCAAATCGAGACCAACCGACCCTATTTTTTTTCACCTTGCACTGGGTTTATGCCATTGCATGATCATATTAACCTGTTAATATGGTGAGTCAACAGCATATTTTAAACGAGAGACCGATTTGACAAAGCAACACGATGGCAATAGAACTCTTTACAGTTGCCGTGGCATTTTGATGGCGGGAACACCTGACAATATATCATAGTTGTCCCTGTTGATATGACACATTGTCTAACAACATGTAAATTTCGCAGATGTATCGCCAATAGTAATCGTGCGCCGATTAGCTTTTTCCAATTTGAAATCTTAGTTTCACTATATTTTTATTTAATTATGAAAGTGAAAGTAAAACAGGTGTACTACGAAATGTATTGCAGTAGTCACATGAGGGCAAGGTTTATCCTAAAGGTTCTGAAAATCCTCAGTGTTTATTCGAGGAAATGACGTATTTCAGCAATATTGTATTTAGACAAGGAGAAACTATGTAGACGTCTAAAAACAAAAGTCCAGCGTAAAGGGAAGACATCATGGGAACAGCAGTGAGCAATTGCGAGTATGACAATGGGAAATCAGGTGTGGACGAGTCCTGGCTAGAGGATACAAATGTCAAAGTACCACAGAGGGTGAGTGACCATAAAGTGTCCGATAGCGGGTGAGTGACCATACTGTGTCTGGTAGAGAGTGGGTTACAAACAAGTGTCTGAGAGCGGGTGAGTGACCATACTGTGTCTGGTAGAGAGTGGGTTACAAACAAGTGTCTGAGAGCGGGTGAGTGACCATACTGTGTCTGGTAGAGAGTGGGTTACAAACAAGTGTCTGAGAGCGGGTGAGTGACCATACTGTGTCTGGTAGAGAGTGGGTTACAAACAAGTGTCTGAGAGCGGGTGAGTGACCATTATGTGTCTGGTAAAGGGTAAGTGGCAATAATGATTCTGGTAGAGAGTGAGTTATCATACTGTGTTTGGGGGCGGATAAGAGACCATAGACTGTCTAGTAAAATCTAATTTACCATATTGTGTCTAGTAGCGTGTGAGTGACCATACTGTGTCTAGTAGAGGGTGAGAGACCATAAAATGACTGGTAGAGTGTAAGTGACCATAATGTGACTGGTGGAGGGTAAGTGACCATAAAGTGATTGGTAGAGAGTAAGTGACCATAGAATGATTGGTAGAGGGTAAATGACCATTATGTGACTGGTAGAGAGTAAGTGACCATGAAGTGACTGGTAGAGGGTAAGTGACCATAAAGTGATTGGTAGAGAGTAAGTGACCATAATGTGACTGGTAGAGTGTAAGTGACCATAGAATGATTGGTAGAGGGTAAGTAACCATTATGTGACTGGTAGAGAGTAAGTGACCATAGAATAATTGGTAGATGGTAAGTGACCATTAAATGACTGGTTGAGGGTAAGTGACCATAAAGTGACTGGTAGAGGGTAAGTGACCATAAAGTGATTGGTAGAGAGTAAGTGACCATGAAGTGACTGGTAGAGGGTATGTGACCATGAAGTGACTGGTAGAAGGAAGGTGACCATGAAGTGACTGGTAGAGGGTAAGTGACCATAAATTGACTGGTAGAGAGTAAGTGACCATGAAGTGACTGGTAGAAGGAAAGTGACCATGAAGTGACTGGAAGAGGGTAAGTGACCATGAAGTGACTGGTAGAGAGTAAGTGACCATGAAGTGACTGGTAGAGAGTAAGTGACCATGGAGTGACTAGTAGAGGGTAAGTGGCCATGAAGTGACTGGTGGAGAGTAAGTTACCAAGAAGTGACTGGCAGAGGGTAAGTGACTATAAAATGACTGGTAGAGAGTAAGTGACCATAACATGACTGGTAGAGGGTAAGTGACCATAAAGTGTTTGGTAGAGGGTAAGTGACCATAAAGTGACTGGTAGAGGGTAAGTGACCATAAAGTGACTGGTAGAGGGTAAGTGACCATAAAGTGACTGGTAGAGAGTAAGTGACCATAACATGACTGGTAGAGGGTAAGTGACAATAAGTGATTGGTAGAGAGTAAGTGACCATAGCATGACTGGTAGAAGGTAAGTGACCATAAAGTGATTGGTAGAGAGTAAGTGACCATGAAGTGACTGGTAGATGGTATGTCTGGTAGCGTGATAGTAATCATACTGTGTACGGTAGCGGAACGTGACAGATGTTAGGTAAGAAATTCTTTATGAAACATAATGTGTACACTACTTAAGTGTACGGTACATCACAACAATGACTTTTCACAAATGAATGCGATTTCCTGACGCAGTCTACATACAGTTTTAATTGAATTGAGCATTCTCTATCACATAACTCAGTAATGAATAAACTACTCGTTATTAACGAGAAATATTCAATCTTTATAAATTATTTTATTCAATTTGTTTCAAACAATTTGATACCCACCAGATTTACTTGATAGCTTTTATACTGAATCTTCAGATAACGCAATATACAACATATATATATATAACAGAGATCAGTACCTCACCTTTAGTGATATCTCGAATATTATAGATACCGCAATCTTTTCTTGATAAGTGTGACTCATTTTGTCCCCGAGATAGTGTCACTGTCCGACAAGGTCGTCATGAGCCGGCAAAGAAAGTTATCTACTTACGCATCACCGAGAGGTGATGATTTATTTTCCTCCAACAATTTCCTTTCCCAAGGTATTAGAAGTAGTTGCCATGTACTACATGCATCGTGCCATCTTCATGGTCCATTAAACATGTTTCGATATTGATGGTTTTATACAATTGTGACAGGTTTTTTTTTTTTTTTTTTAATTGATGACGCGACCCTACTTTTACTTGTCTTTACACTAAGGAGAGACGGATTTATTATTCCCCAATAAACATGAGAATACGTAATTATCATGTAAGTATACATAAATCAGTTTTTTTCAGAACAGTCGCCGCATTGAGAAGATAAAGCGGACGCACATCAAAAAAGTGAGAAGGAGGTGTAAGTATATAATCTATAGACGATATGCGGTCACTAAAATTGGTTTAATTCTCAAAATAATATTACTCGTCACGGTCTGTCTTAGCAAAGAAATATGGCATACGAATGTACTTTTTAAACTTAATTGGTCTTAATGTGTATGAATTCAGCATGTCTAATCGATTTATTGTTTTATTCTTTTTTAGCAAAATCACGGAGTCGATTGCGTTCCTCAAACGACCCAAAACGAGACACATGCGATAAAATACCTATACAAAGGTCAGACTCAGATGAAGAAAAAGGCAAAATTCTGATAACTGAAAATCATTCTGAAGAGAAAATAGACATAAATGAACATTCAGATGACGATTCCCCGACTATTTCTCATGTGGAATACTTATTTGCTGAAGAAGTACACGACATTTCTGCAGAGGATGTAGAAGAGGGAATCCAGGAAATTGAACAACAAATGATAATGCATGGGGCAGCTTTGTCAACTAACTTTGTTGGCAGATGTGCCTTTCGGGATACGAACAATTATTATACTGCTGGTCTTCCTATTGACGCACTACACACGCTACTACAAAAGAATTCGAAACGATTCAAAGCTTGTACCCTTCAAATTGAATCAGCTCACGCATCCACATGCACATTATTAAAACCAGAGGTAAATCTTACCACAATCGAAATCAGCGGTCGATCAAAATGTGGAAAATACTTTTCAGGAGATGAAGTAGTTGTGGAAATCTTAAATCTTGATCACAACAAGAACAGCAGTCACTCGGAACCGGATAGTGATTTCAAGGCATTTGGCAAAATCGTTGGAAAACTCACCTCAAAACAATTTCGAAATATAGATCACCCAGTCCTTCTTTGCGAATTGGATGACGTCGACTACCATCTCATGAGACCACTGGATAAAACAGTTCCAAAGATACATGTTTTCAAAAAAAAATGTCAAAGGAAAATTCCAAGTTGAAACGTACCAGTACAACTCAAAGACAAAAGACTTGACTTTTAGAGAAGTGGTCGATATCAACCCAGCCAAAAAAGACCGTTATGTATTCCTTGTTGTTTATATACGTTGGGATGCAATCTATCTTCTTGGAGCTGTGATAAAAATCATGAGATCTGATGGAGATATTAACAGTGGTTTAAAAATTCTGGAGATTCAGTATCAAATACCCACTTCATATGGCAAGGCCACCTTGCAGGCTGTTCGCGATATAACCAGAACATCTGAATTACCTCCGTCCCTGTTAGAAGGCAGAGAAGATTTGACAGACTCACTGTCTGTATTCACGATCGATCCTGAAGGTTCAAAAGATCTCGACGATGCTCTCAGTTTGCGAAGAATTGAGAACGGGTATGTTGAGGTCGGTATCCATATAGCAGACGTGGCAAGCTTTGTGCGAAAGGGTGACAAAATAGACAACGAAGCAAGGCAAAGAGCTACAACTTATTACCCTGGTAATGGAAAACGTCCACATCATATGCTCCCAGCGCCTCTTAGTGAGGACTGTTGCAGCTTGCTTCCAAATAAGAAGAGACTTGCTTTGTCCATATTTTTCCGGTTCTCAATTAACAGGAAGTTAAATATCGAAAGCCATGTTATCAAAAAAACGGTTGTGAAATCAAGACGCCAGTTCACATATGCCGAGGTACAAGATATAATACTAGATCGTACAAAAGACGAAACGTTTTCAGAGGACATCAAAATGTTATTTAGCATAGCAAGAAGAATTCGCTGCAGTAGACTTGGTGAAGCCATACATTCACTTCCAACAGACTTTGACCTATCCGGGAATATAGACAGCGATTCCCTTTTTGAATCACCAGAAGCACACTATCTGGTTGAAGAATTCATGATTTTGTCAAACAAAACAGTGGCAGAGTTCGTGTGTAAAACTTACAAAAACTGTGCAATATTGAGATGTCAAGATGCACCACCACCAGAAAAAATAAATCAATGGCTGAAACAATTTCCACGCATTGCTGACATTATACTGAAACTACAGAACATCAAACCAAGTCCGAGTAGACAATTGAAAATCGAAAATGCGCCTTCAGCGACACATAAAATGGTGATTGGTCTACAGGCATGGCTTTGGAAACTTTTAGAAGAGAAAGTTAGAGAAGGACATTATCGGGATGCTTGGAAACTCATTGGTAGCGATGAACTGCACCCAGAACAGGCTTTGGCTTGGTCAGAGTGGATACAGTTCCAGGAAAAAGCAGAATACAGGTGTTCTGGGGAAGTGCAGAGCCAGCAGAAGTTATTTCACTTTTCTCTTGGCATATCTCCCTACACACAATTCACATCCCCTATCCGAAGATATGGTGATTTGGTTACTCATCGCTTGACGCATGCAGCACTTGACAAACAGGTTTCACCATACACAACTTCTGATATCGCTGAAATATGCAGTAAAATCAATGATGTTTCAAGACGAGCAAAGATTTATGGAAAAGAATGTAAAATTCTACAACACGGTCAATTTCTGAAAGACAATCCCCTAAAATTCAACTGTTTCATTGATGACATGTCCGATCAAGGTTTTACTTTCCATGTGCCAGGGATGCGTCTTTTGCCTGGTCGGTGTAGAGAAGTTGCACTTAATTTACTGAATGCATCATGTCAACCAACTATGATGAAGGACAAAGACAATGATAGACCATTTAACATCCTTACCATGACTTGGCAAAAAAGATTGTACTCCCACAAAGGCTTTGCTTCATTTAGTATCGGACATTCTAGAGGTTGTACCGAAACACGTATCGATCCACATCAAAGGACTACATTTCTGCAATATTCCCGTTGGACAGATGTCCTTAAAACTTTGGTAACAGGGGACACTGAATTGCTGAGAAATACGTTGTCTCCACACGCCGATTTCTTAGAAGCAGACCAGTTGAGATCATTTGTCCCGGCTTGTACATCGACTGTTAAAGACGTGAGTTCAGAAGTCAGGGAAGGTGTAATCACCAGGCATTTATGTGAATTTAGCATGTCCTTCAACCATGCACAGGTAATGTCAGTGCAGATCGGCTCAGAACCCCATAAAGGCATTCTCTTGCCGTACCCGCAGTTGTTGGACCTAACAGACAATGTTAAATGTTGTCTGCAGCATATGCAGGATCCCGTGAAATACTTGGCTGCATACGCAACAAAAGCTGTGCATTCTGCCCATTATAAGTCTGTAGATGAATACCTTAAAACATGGTTACCATTACAGCAAATGGAAAACACGACGTTAGCCGCAAGAGAAGATTCGGTTACAATAAATGATCTTCCGGTAACATTCTATGAAAACGATGGATCATTTATATTGCAAAAGAATTTCTGTGATACAAGAAACATTCTCTATAATATGAAATCATTGGACTATCTTTTGTACAACGACAACGATGATAAATCAAGAGATGCACAAAAATACGTCCCATGCCTAGATTACTTGTGTATCAAATGCCCGTATCCATCTACCTACAAAATCTGCGGGGGCATTCCTGAAACAAAACGAATTTGGCTTGTGCACGGTAATGTTGAGGAGATTGAGAGTACAAAGGAGACAATCCAGGTTCATTTTAAGCTTCATAGCACAAGCCCGAGACCACCACCAAACTTGCTGACTAGTTCCAATTCTCAGACTTGCAGTGTTGAAATCCTCACAAAACCCGAGTCTGACAGGTAGGCACTACCAGTTATATATTAGAATAATAAATTAGAATTGATTAATTTAGAAATTATATGTGTTAAATTTAAAGTTATTGATTAACATCATTTACATGTAAATGTGGTTAAAACTATTTCTTCATATTTGGGTCTAAAAGTAGTTTATATTGTAGGATGATATTTTAGCTGGTAACAAACTGTAGATAACTTAAACATTCGTTTCCTTTACACATATATAAAGGTTATGGAACTCGAATGTCACAAAAGTAAGCATGTCTAATCAAAAGTATTCAACTCTCCTCTTCAGTTGATTTAAAAAGATATTAGCGAGATATTTTTGAAGAAAATTGGTATACAAACACAAGGGTGTACTAAAGCTGTAAAGAGAGACAGTCTTCTGTTCCTTCTATTATACGTCCCTGATAATATCGTAATAATATTTTTGTATTTTATATATCATGTTTTTTTTTCTATGTTTAAGGGTTATTCTTTCAGAACGCAAACTTAAAAATGAAACCTCTGTTTATCATTTCTTATAGAAGAACAGCTGCAGCCATGTTGTGTCTAGCAAAAGCAAAGGATGTAGCGAGAGCAGCTGCCCTCGGACAAAAGATCAAACCTCTAGGTTTGTGCAATCTTAAGTAAATTATGTCAACATATATACCAATAAAAAAGAAAAAGGGAAAGAAAGAAAAACTTTAACTGAAAACAGATGGTAGAATTTCGTAGTGACGACGTAACATAACAAAATTTGAAGATGGTCATGGCAACAAATCCTAATTTGATTCCATTTGACTTGAGAACATTTTATTGTTTATTTTATTTTTTTTTTTTTAATTCCTTATCTGATGTTTATTATTGGAAATGTTTCTTTTGGTGACTGTATTTTGAATCGTTTGTTGTCAAATATATCGCTTACATTACAGGCAAAAGCTACTTAGAATTAGCGAAGGATATGGAAACAGAGGTGAACGTGAAGGGCCTGGCAATCAACAATCCAAAGCAACGTCTTGCAATACGCACAGCCCTTTGTAATAGACTCACGTTCATTCAAGGACCCCCAGGTAATTACAAATTTTAAGTAACATTTTTGCCACATATATTTAAAAATTATGTTTATAACAATGTTTTAAACACTGTATTTTTAAAATACAGTTCCTGATTGTAGAAAATCATTTTAATTCTAAACAAAAATACTTTAAAAGTTTGCACTTGTAAATGACTCTTGGTGCTTATAGAGTCTACATTATATCAGTATATATCTAAATACATTTTATTAATATTTGGCACTAATTGTGTCTCTTTACCAAGGAACTGGAAAGACCTACACTGGCATTAAATTGCTGTACCTGTTCACAAAGTTAAATCGACTTTGGTACCGAGAAGGACATCCTTTTAAACAAGTTGTGTTCTGCGGCCCATCCAACAAATCTATAGATCTCGTAGCAAGTAAGTGTATATACATCGTAATGACTTAATCGATCTTGTTTCAATTAAGTGTTTCGCTTAGTGATCATATCGATCATATCTCAAATAAGTTTTTAGCTTAGTGATCACAACGGTTTTGTTTCAAGCAAGCGTATAGCTTAGTGATCACAACGGTCTTGTTTCAAGCAAGCGTATAGCTTAGTGATCACAACGGTTTTGTTTCAAGCAAGTGTATAGCTTAGTGATCACAACGGTCTTGTTTCAAGTAAGTGTATAGCTTAGTGATCACAACAATTATGTCTCAAGTAAGTGTATATTCATCTAAGTGATCCAAACGATCTTGCCTCACTTAAGTGTATTGCTTAATGATCACCTAGTGGTTACATTGATCCAGTCTCAACTTAGTATATATCCATCATGTCTCAAGTAAGTGCATTTAGAGCTAACGTTCATTTTGATCCAGACGCAAGTAATACATATAGCACTTAATGAACACAATGATCATGTCTCATGTGTATATAGAACTTATTGATCACATTGATCCTGTCGCACGTAAGTGTACGTGCTACTGATCACATCAATCTTATACCAAGGAAATGTTTATAGGGCTTAGTGATAACATCGATCGTGTATCAAGTGAGTGTATACACAGCTTAGTGATAACATCGATCGTGTATCAAGTGAGTGTATACACAGCTTAGTGATAACATCGATCGTGTCTCAAGTGAGTGTATACACAGCTTAGTGATAACATCGATCGTGTATCAAGTGAGTGTATACACAGCTTAGTGATAACATCGATCGTGTCTCAAGTGAGTGTATACACAGCTTAGTGATAACATCGATCGTGTATCAAGTGAGTGTATACACAGCTTAGTGATAACATCGATCGTGTATCAAGTGAGTGTATACACAGCTTAGTGATAACATCGATCGTGTCTCAAGTGAGTGTATACACAGCTTAGTGATAACATCGATCGTGTATCAAGTGAGTGTATACACAGCTTAGTGATAACATCGATCGTGTCTCAGGTGATTGTATACATAGCTTAGTGATAACATCGATCGTGTCTCAAGTAAATGTATACACAGCTTAGTGATAACATCGATCGTGTCTCAAGTAAATGTATACATAGCTTAGTGATAACATCGATCGTGTCTCAAGTGAGTGTATACACAGCTTAGTGATAACATCGATCGTGTCTCAAGTGAGTGTATACACAGCTTAGTGATAACATCGATCGTGTCTCAGGTGATTGTATACATAGCTTAGTGATAACATCGATCGTGTCTCAAGTGAGTGTATACACAGCTTAGTGATAACATCGATCGTGTCTCAAGTAAATGTATACATAGCTTAGTGATAACATCGATCGTGTCTCAAGTGAGTGTATACACAGCTTAGTGATAACATCGAGCATAGCTTAGTGATAACATCGATCGTGTCTCAAGTGAGTGTATACACAGCTTAGTGATAACATCGATCGTGTCTCAGGTGATTGTATACATAGCTTAGTGATAACATCGATCGTGTCTCAAGTGAGTGTATACACAGCTTAGTGATAACATCGATCGTGTCTCAAGTGAGTGTATACATAGCTTAGTGATAACATCGATCGTGTCTCAAGTAAATGTATACATAGCTTTGTGATAACATACAGGTGAGTGTATACATAGCTTAGTGATAACATCGATCGTGTCTCAAGTAAATGTATACATAGCTTAGTGATAACATCGATCGTGTCTCAAGTGAGTGTATACACAGCTTAGTGATAACATCGATCGTGTCTCAAGTGAGTGTATACACAGCTTAGTGATAACATCGATCGTGTCTCAGGTGATTGTATACATAGCTTAGTGATAACATCGATCGTGTCTCAAGTAAATGTATACATAGCTTAGTGATAACATCGATCGTGTCTCAAGTAAATGTATACATAGCTTAGTGATAACATCGATCGTGTCTCAGGTGAGTGTATACATAGCTTAGTGATAACATCGATCGTGTCTCAAGTAAATGTATACATAGCTTAGTGATAACATCGATCGTGTCTCAAGTGAGTGTATACACAGCTTAGTGATAACATCGATCGTGTCTCAGGTGAGTGTATACATAGCTTAGTGATAACATCGATCGTGTCTCAGGTGAGTGTATACATAGCTTAGTGATAACATCGATCGTGTCTCAAGTGAGTGTATACATAGCTTAGTGATAACATCGATCGATGAGTGTATACACAGCTGTGATAACATCGAGTGTCTCAGTGTATACATAGCTTAGTGATAACATCGATCGTGTCTCAGGTGAGTGTATACACAGCTTAGTGATAACATCGATCGTGTCTCAGGTGAGTGTATACATAGCTTAGTGATAACATCGATCGTGTCTCAGGTGAGTGTATACATAGCTTAGTGATAACATCGATCGTGTCTCAGGTGAGTGTATACATAGCTTAGTGATAACATCGATCGTGTCTCAAGTGAGTGTATACACAGCTTAGTAATAACATCGATCGTGTCTCAAGTGAGTGTATACATAGCTTAGTGATAACATCGATCGTGTCTAAATAAATTTATTTTTAATTACATTAAAGTAAAAAATCATGTCGAATATAAAGTTGTTGCATGTTTTAGATAACTTGATGACTTCGGTTTAAATTTAAATTTGATCATTAGAAAAAGTACATGATGAATTCAAGTACAAATAGTTGTTCACGCTAAATTAAGTATTTATTCCCAGCCAAAGCTCCACTGTAAGATAAACGTGTTTTTTTCAATGTATTAACAGTGTAAGGTGCATTATAATATCTATAACACATTTATACGGACAGTGGTGTGCATCAAATGTGTTGTAGTGCATTAACGATTCATTAAGTATACTTTAGACTGTGACTTCAATTAACATCGGGATGCGTGATACAGTATCACAATCTCTGGTGACTAATTACTCCAAATAAATTTCTAACGCGGGATGCATTGGTGGTAGCAGTAATTACGCATTTGATAGAGCAAAATGTTTGCTTACAGAGTGGACAAGAAAAAAACTCGGTGAGTTAGCTCCGCGAATGATCAGAATGTATGGCGCTTCACACGAATGCATGGACTACCCTATCCCGGGTAAGCTGTTCTCATCTAAGTCGAGAAAGGTAGAAAACCGACCAGATGCAAGTCTACATGACATGGCTCTACACCATCTGATTCGACAAGAAGGAAAACCATACGCTACTAAGATCAGAGAATTTGACAAATACTTTCAGCAAATCAGTAATCTTTCGTCAATTATACATGAAGGTCAAGGTGAGGAGTTTAAAAGCAAAATCAAAAAGTACAACTCTTTGCTCACAGAGGCTGAACAGAAAGAATTACAGAATTATGATGTAATCTTCTGCACAACAACTATGACAACAAATTCCAAATTTATTCGCTCCACCAAAAACAGAATCTTTCAGTGCATTATTGACGAGAGCGGAATGTGCACAGAACCGGAAACTCTAGCTACCATCATCGCCACCAGAGCGGAACAAGTGGTTCTGATCGGGGATCACAAACAACTCAGACCGGTAGTCATGTGTCAACATGCTGCAAGACTTGGACTGGAGAAATCCCTCTTTGAGCGAAGGTCAAATACGGCAATCCTCCTTTCAACACAGTATCGAATGGTAGGCAACTTCTCTGTCGAATACGTTAATGTTGAAATGTGTTTTGATTACCATTCTGGTACATTCCATGCTTTCAATTAAGCTAATTAAGCATGTCAAATAGAAACCAATTTTCTCCGCTATCGTGTTCTTTCTGCAGTAAATAAATCAAATCCTAATGCAGTTTTTCCGAATAAAAAAATGCATACCCTATTTTTGAGAAAGTCTACAGGTTCGAAACACTTCTATAACATTCTTATTAAAACTAAAATAGCACCAACGGGACAGAAAAATGGAATGAATTATTTAATTTAAGCAATTCCATTTGGCATCATATCTTTAAACTCCCCTTTGCTATCTTTAAAAACACTTCAATGGTTTCAGTTTAAGGTAAATATCACATTCTGTCTACAAATTCCTTCTTCAAAACTCGTTTATTTATATCTGCTCTGTGTATACTTTGTAATTCTGAGACTGAAACTATTATAAATATTTTATGGAAATGCCGAGAGGTTCAGAATCTTCTTCATAATTTTTAATTTTATTAGACGCACATGTTATTCCCTTTAATTTCAATCTTATTTGATTTCTAACACAAATTGTAAAAAAAAACAGAAGGATTGATAATGAAATACTCTTCATTATAAAACAGTACATCTACCAGACGTGGTCTTCATAGCTCCTTGAATATAAATGCACAAACACAATAGAAAAGCATTATAATGTTTATAAATATATAGCAATTAGTACCGGGGATAGTGCTAAAGAATCAGCTGAGTAGGAATGGAAGAAAATGGGAAAAACTAGTTGTTCTATATCAAATTTTTACTTTTTTTTTTTTTTTTTTTGTTTTTTGACATTTTTCCCCAAGTCTTGAAATACATTAACTTAAACTATGTCATATGTCTACTTACGGTTGTGTTGAAAGTATAGAACCGCTAGTGTTCTTTAATATGTCTGACGAAAGTTCGGCAACTATCGCTACTGATACGACTGTTGTGTGTGTACTTGTTAAAACAACAACCTAAACATGCTAAAGTGTTCTGAACATTTTAGCACTCAACGTATCTTCATGATTCACTTTTGTTTAACACAGAATCCACGGCTATGTGACTTCATTTCTGCTCAGTTTTATAACAAACAACTCCAGACAGCACCATCGTTTGCATGGGAAGAACCAAATCCTCTGGCTTTGTGGAAACACCCAGCTGTTCCACACATCTTCTGTCACGTGGATGGAGTGGAAGAATATCTGGCAGTATCCAGTAACGAGGGAAATGAACAATCCTGCAGCAATAAAGCAGAGGTGGAAAAAGTGGTCAGGAGCTTCATTAGATTTATGATTTTTTTTTTCGTTACTGAGTTGTTCTATTTGCAATTATTTTTGTCTCATTTTCGGTTGACTTAAATTTTTATGTCCTAGTTTGAAGAAACGAAAAATATCTCAATATTTTCTATTCTTTATTTCAATATTGATAAATATTTACTCGAGCAATTGGCTTGTGAAATAACATTTTTATAACCCATATTTGGTATGTCTGCTGTCAGCTGGAAGTGTTCAAACGCATTGTAACCAAAGAGGGAGTGAAACCGCTGTATGTCAACATTATATCTCAGTACAATGCCCAGTGCCACGCCATACGGTCGGCCTTGGTGAATACCGGCTACATTAACTGTAACGTTCACACAGTTGTCGCCAGCCAGGGTAAGTACATATGTACTTTCTTCTCTGTTACTGTCGTTAGGCCAGTTCAGGACGAAATTATAAATGAAATGTTTATAAAGTAATTATCCCACAAGATTAATTTGATTACAGCCTATAATAACGCTGTCATTTCTCGTATAGGTGGAGAATGGGATTACGTCATTTTCAGTACCGTAAGATCATTACCTGACTATAGAATTGAACCAAACCCAACCATTGGTTGGTGTAAACAGAATTTGGGATTCATCAGTGACGAACACCAGATCAACGTTGCCCTTTCTAGAGCCCGCAAAGGACTCGTCATTATAGGTAAGTACGATAAATGTCATGCCAACACAGTCTGTATTTCCATGTGTTTGCAATTACAGCAAACGTGTTGTCTTCCTTGGTACTTGCAGCAATGTTCTTGCCGTTCACAATTACGCCGGATTTGCTATTACGTAGACGTCAATCAAATGTGTCATCATAGGCTGATAAAACAAAAGTTCTTGTCAACACACGTGGACAAAAATGACGGTATCTTTAGATACAATAAACTGTTAGTTTCATTTGTGTTTCGTAGTGAGCGGACTTTTACGTTCTGCTTTATAGTAAGTGACCAGGTTTGATATAAATTATAGGGATGTATCCACTACACCATCAACAATCCCTGATAACAGATTCTAGTGGTCTAACTCAAGTGCTGTCTTTCTTCTGTCTTGGTCACATGCGTTAAATATCTAGCTTAACATACTCACAACTAATTTACTTCAACGTAATTTTACTTACCTTGACTTACGTTAACGTACTTACTGTCGTAACTTCCCATTGGTTTTATTCACAGTAGCTTGTAAAACATTGAAAAAACACACTGCGGCGTACTTTAAGGTACCTCAGTAAAGTAGATTTATATACTGTAGTGTACCTCCCCCTCTACCAATACTTTAAGGTACCTCAGTAAAGTAGATTTATGTACTGTAGTGTACCTCCCCCGCTACCAATACTTTAACGTAAAGTATATTTATGTACTGTAGTGTACCTCCTCAGCTACCAATACTTTAACGTAAAGTATATTTATGTACTGTAGTGTACCTCCCCCTCTACCAATACTTTAAAATACCTCAGTAAAGTAGATTTATATACTGTAGTGTACCTCCTCCGCTACCAATACTTTAACGTAAAGTATATTTATGTACTGTAGTGTACCTCCCCCGCTACCAATACTTTAACGTACTTCAGTAAAGTATATTTATGTACTGTAGTGTACCTCCCCCTCTACCAATACTTTAAAATACCTCAGTAAAGTAGATTTATATACTGTAGTGTACCTCCTCCGCTACCAATACTTTAACGTAAAGTATATTTATGTACTGTAGTGTACCTCCTCAGCTACCAATACTTTAACGTAAAGTATATTTATGTACTGTAGTGTACCTCCTCAGCTACCAATACTTTAAAATACCTCAGTAAAGTATATTTATGTACTGTAGTGTACCTCCCCCGCTACCAATACTTTAACGTACTTCCGTAAAGTATATTTATGTACTGTAGTGTACCTCCCCCGCTACCAATACTTTAACGTACTTCAGTAAAGTATATTTATGTACTGTAGTGTACCTCCCCCGCTACCAATACTTCAACGTACTTCAGTAAAGTACTCTCACATGTTGTGACGTACTTCCTCCTCTATCAGTACTTTAACGTACTTGAGTAAAGTACTCTCACGTGTTGTGACGTACTTCCTATTCTATCAGTACTTTAACGTATTTGAGTAAAGTACTCTCACGGGCTGTCACGTACTTCCTCCTTTATCAGTACTTTAACGCACTTGGGTAAAGTACTCTCACGTGCTGTGACGTACTTCCACCTCTACCAGTACTTTAACGTACTTCAGTAAAGTTGTATATACGCGATGTGTGCTTCTATCCCTAAATTTGATATAAACGTGGTCAAATGTGAAGAGACATAAAAGACTTCTAAATGTAATGTTTAATGACGTGGACAATTGCGAAAAATAAATGAAAATATCAATTTTATCATTTGTTCGTTGTCATTGCGTCGGTAGGGGCGCTTCTTACTGCTTTTGGTGTGATATGGCAGTTCACATTAACTCAACAATGTATATCAGGCGATTTACTTGTAATGTTTTATTAAAATCTGTGGATATCAAATGTAGATATAAGGATTGCTATTTATTTTATTGCTTCACAACAGGGTCACCGTTCGTTTTACAACAATTAATGTATACAGGTAGTTAACCAGACGTAAATACACTTCGATGCACATATAACAATTAAGAAACAATCCTTGAATAGTTTACCCTGTTTTGATTGATGTCGCACATTATCTAATATTCAGTAATATTCAGTATTCCGGTTTATTTTCAAGCAATGATATCTATATTTGTTACACAACGAAAAACGTATTCCTTTAATATCAGTACAAGGGTGATTGAAAATGCTAATTTCAAATAAAACGTTGCCCTAGTAACTTTACACCTAGATGTTCATACCACTTTTCATTAATTTAAGGGAACAAAAATCTTCTGAGGTGCGATGCTGTTTGGAAATCCCTGTTAGAATCGTACACGGACAGAGATTGCGTCGTTGACGCCAAGGACTTTCCACCACCGCTCGTCAGGCGTCCTAAAACACGGCGGAATATGGCAAACGCCTCACGAATGTCCTCTGAAGAGTTTTACCGTGGCACCGATCGGGAATCGAACCTTTAAGAAAGACATCCAAAGGAAATGATGGACCCGGGGGAGTACTCTGAATGTTTTAGAACTGAAAGCGCGCATATCCTGCTTGAAATGTGAATATATATTATTCTTGATGTCACGGACATGGTGATTCCGAGTACAGGATTGGAATATCTAAAATACTCACGATAGTCTGTTCTGATGGAACATAAACCAAAGCGTCTACTGTGATATGTACGTTCTTTATCAGGCGAAAAGAAACCGTTTTTATATATGAAATCGCTTTAAGCTGTAGTACCATGTATCCACATACACACACACACACACCCTCACACACACACACACACACACACACACACACACATATATATTGTCAAATTTTCGAGGCAATCTGCCCTTTTATTAAGACACAAATATTACCTAAATTACATCACATGTATAAAACCTAAAGCAAATACAAAGTTATAAAGTTATATCGAGAGCGGTGGTGTAACTTTAACTTTATCGATAGTCCCTTCGGCCGATGGACGCCGAAGACCCTTTATAAGAGAATAGAAATATCTTAAGTTGTAATATGGAAGATGGTGTTTAAAATATAAAAAAAAATGTTTTAATCAATTTCCTCCCATTCGACCCTATAGTACCTCGAGTGTGAGTATTTTCGTTCCTTGTGAAAGCTATCATAATACATTGCACGTGTGTTTTTGTTAACAAGTTACCTCCCAACGTTACTGACATATCATTTCGCCAATGACCTGATGTATCAACTGACACTTGAATTTACCAATCGTTTGAACAATTGTAAATATTTTATCATCGTGATGGTATATTTTGAAATCAGCAATTTCTGCATCCTCAACTTATGGTTAAGTTGATTCGATGGTCAAACAATTGTTTCGGATCTCACGATTTTTTTTTTTTTTTTTGAAATGACAGACTAAAGCAAAAAAAAAAGAGTTTCGAGAAATACAGACGGACGAAGGTTATGGAGACGTTTTACGGTCGTCATGAAGATATCAATGGGACTATTCTATTTGTGTGTACGATATGAAGTCCGGCATGTTTAATGCTCATTACATTGCTTGTAGTTCTGTTATTGTTGACATTGTTTCATTATAAAATTGCATGCCGTATTGTCCGTCTTACACTAGTTATGTCATAAATTACTCATCACCATCATCGTATTCCTCCAATGAAACGGCCATTTTGATGATGTACAGACTACGTCTCTGTTCCAACACTTGTGACTTCATAATGGTCACTCATTGGATAGCGTTTATTACACGTTCAATTAAATGTCTTTCTGGTGATTTACAGGCGCGTATATTCAGCACCATTTAAACACATACGTCATATTAATATTGGATGCACAAGTCCTACACTTTACTCGTGCTAACGTTGTTTTCATTATGTCTGTGATATTCTCAAACATATAGCTGTGATAAATTAATAGAATCAGAAGTGTGCACGTGTTGATGTGTGTATGTAGATAATAGGTAAGTAATTCGAGAACAACAACGGGATGACATGAGGGATGTGTTGTTTTAATTGTATATAGTTTTACGTTTTAGTGTTTGTACTTCAGGTCTCATCAATGGATAAGATAATGACCATTTCATTGTGGGGGAAATAAGAATAACTGTAAGGCCATCTGTTGTATTAACAACGTTTTGCACGATAGAATGCCTTTTATGTTCAGCTGATATAGTCAACGTTATCGCCAACTATGCTTTAAAATTTGACAATAACAGTGCAGATGGTGATTTTTTAAAAAAAAATTAAGGCTACAGAAGAGGCAATAATTTTAAAAGGCAGGGGAAGTCCGATATTGAAGATGTTGACGAAACAGCCAGGGTACATTCTACAGAGGAAGCAGTGGTTTAAAAAAAAAGGGGGGGGGGGGGGGGGAATCCGACTGAAGTGGCAATGGTTAGAACAGTCAGTGCATGTCCGACATTGGGGGCGGTAATTAGATTGGCCAGGGTAAGGCCGACTGAGGAGGCAGAAATTAGAATAGCAAGTGCAAGTGTCCTCTTACACAACCACAAAAGCATATGGCGGTCTATGAACTCAGCTTCCTTAGAAACACAGATTAACCTGGGAAGGAATAGCATAAATTGCAAAAGCCGAGACTGTATGGACTTGGTTATCGCAGCCTCACTCTCATCAACCAATCATATGTTCTACGTCAAACTGTACATAGGCTGGATTATAACACGTGGCGTAAGATACTTCATTGCCAGTACGGAACTAGAAATTTGGCTATTAGTAATGCAGGGAGATGTGTACTAAAAATCTTAATCCTTCACTTAAATGACTTGACACGAAGTTTCTTCAAAATAAAAACTATTTACATTACAGAGTTTCGTTGTGATTTGATTTATTCACTAATGAGCTACATGTACATTTTAATAAAAAAAAAATGGTGAAAAAAATACTTTTGATTTGTTTAGAGAAGGACACCTGTCTAAATTAGTTTATTTCTAGCCAAAAAACCTACTTACTTATCAGTGACAAAAATCTTATCTAGACTTAGCATAATTTCTGTAAAAATGCATTTGAAGAAATGATGATAGTTTAATATATATGTTTTAGAAAATGTGAAAGTTCTATTTTGTTTTTTCTTATTTATCAACCAAGTACCTGAATAACTAGTTCTACAATTTTACAAACAATATATTACATCTGGTTCTCACACTGTAAATCCAAAAAGGCTATTTACTAAGTGGTCAAAGTTGATATTGTAACAAGAGACTTATATGTCCGATGTTTCTTTCCTGTAATTCCTATTGCAGGTATTCTGTTTGCTCGGATATGTATTCTGGCATAACGGAAGATCTGGGTGGGACATGAGAAAGGCGTGAAGGACTCTGCTCTTCTTTGTTCTTATTTTCTCTCACCACTTTCATTATCTGAAGTCAGAAAAATGAAGAATGTGGGCCTGTGTTTTACAGCATAATGTGTGATAATTGATAAACCTGAATTTAGGAAATGTTCATATTGTCATCTCTATTGCATAACAACGCTTTTATTCAACCGATAACTTCATCTATCGCTACTAGCTACTGTATGACGGATGATACACAAACAGAACACTGGGGTCTACATGATAACTGTACCGGTGGTGTTTCAACATTTAAGATTTAAAAGTATTATGAACAGATACAGAAAATCAAATGAGGGAAAATTTGTACGGAACTCTTTTGCAGTTGCATTCTTACCCATGCATGGAGAGTGGCCGCCTCCATACTCGCTTCTCTGATTTTCACGGCAGTGAAAGGCTTCAGAATGCGAATGACAGTCTCAATCACTAAAGATGGCACTGATGCGGGGTCAAGGTCGGCCATCCTTCTGAACACAAACTGATTCCCCATCTGGGAGAGCATTCGTCTACACAGGGACCATTTCTTATAAAAATCATAAAAGAGCACTTAAATATAACACTATACACCGCTATCTATGCTTCACTGAACAACTGACACTTAATTTTGAAAACCTAACATGAAGAACCTTCTGGGTACTTCAGTAAATTAATTAGTGTATCAATGCTAGTACAATATATAAACAAAATAATTTCACAGCTCACATTGTTGGACCCTCCTTACCAAACTTCCAAACAAATATTCACTTACTTCTATTATCATACAAATAATTATACAACATCTAGAAACAATTAGTTTATAAATGCCCAAACTCACTTTCAGGTCTTCAATATCTTCCCCTAGCAGGAGAAATGTGGCAGCGACCACGTGATGTACACCGAGGGGAGGTGACTGGTAACGCTTTATTTCTGTCATCGATTTCAAATGCAGGCCATAGAACTCTACCAAATTCTTCTCCACCCTCGTCACTGTCTTAAGGACCCTAGCTGCCATCCGTATCTGCGGGTCCAAGAATTTTGTTTTCCCACAGACTGCCTGGACCTCTACAGCTCGTTCTATTGCCTCTTCTAGCATCACAGGTTTCCGGAAGCTACAAGCTTTCGTTATTTCTACAAAGTAGAGATTTAGAACAATACAACATAAAAACACGTGTCATCAATTCATTCATAGAGTCTAACAAAACATATGGATATGTGATTGTAAAGGATACGTCAGGGTCAAAGACAAAAAAGGGAGGCTATACTTTATGTATATAACCTGAGAATCACAAGTGATGATATATTTTTACCAGTGGTGACTTAACTTTTGTAGTATTGATAAACATTTGAATCTACCTGTTCGGACGCAAAACAAGACATAGGTTCAATAAATTGGTTCTCTGTGCTTTTTTCTGTACATTTAGAGCTTTTAAAATTTGATATTTAGAAACAATTTTGTGAGCGATTTTCACAAATAACAACAAAGAATTTTAAATACTACCTAAAGCGGGTCAAACTGGGTCGTTCTTTTTGTCAAGCGTTACGTCAAACTGTCCGACGTAAAACAACATGCTAATATCACATGTGTTTAGGTTTATCTTATGTTTCTCTCGTTAAAAATCAAATCTGTTTCGCTTACTTTGTACCGGTAACAAATATAAATATGCTGTCATATTCGTGAGTTAAAGCATCAGCTGGTAACACATATGAATAATTGTTTTGTGTAAAATCATGGACTTAGAAACATTTAAGATGTTTTCCCAAACAATGTATAAATAACTACAGTATCATTGATTACACTCCTACATCTACCACACTCCTTTTTTTCACCACTAATATCGATCGCCGTACTTTTCGAAGTCTTTGAGCGTGTTGATATTACTAACCTTCCATAGCTTTGTCCTTGTCTTTGGCGTCAAACCAGGCATCGAGGCCAATGTCATCAGGGATTGGCTTCGTCTTGTATTGGCGATCTAGACATTTCACTAAGTCATCCAAATCCTTTTTCACAACCGGTTTCCTCACGGACTCGACCTTTGGTGGGGCTAGAATACAGATAGAAATACAGTAATGAAATGTGGAAAACTGTCCTTCAGATATCCCAATATGTACACATCATGTATGTTATATTCGAGCATTTCGACGAAAACATACACAATATCAAAAATAAATTCTTAAAGAAAATCTTCTATAAAGGTGTGTGTGTGTGTGTGTGTGTGTGAGGGTGTGTGTGTGTGTGTGTGTGTAGTTGTGCGTGTGTGTGGGGGGGGGGGGGTATGGGGGTGTGTGTGTGCGCGCGCATGTATGTATGTGTGACTGTGTGTGTCCGAAAGGACATTGACCACAGAGCGAAATTTAAAAAAAAAAAAAAAAAAAAAGGAGGGGGACGAATATGTTTTGTGTTTCTGAAGGGTGACTATAACCAGGGGCGAAAATTTCCCTGTATACAGTGCTAGGATGCGAAAAGAATAATCTAAAATTTCATTGAAGTTAGAAATAAATTGAAATAGTATCATACGTATTACCTTCCTTTGATTTTTTCTCCGGTTTCTTCTCGGACACTGGGGCCGTTATATCATCCAACTGATCCGTGTCGCCCATTTTCAGCAGCGCTCCAGATGGAAGAACTTGTTCGTCGTCATTGGTAGTATCTTCTGATTTTTCTTCATGGTCAAATTCGGAGTCATAAGAGATGGTGTACCTACCGAGTGTTTTTATATTCCCGTTTCTTTCCTTTGAAAAAAGATCCAATAAGTAATCACCTGATGTCTTCATTCTGATCTCCAGGGTATTGTCATTGGCAACAAGGACCGTAGCTGTGGATGTGTTCCCTTCGTCAGTCGCATCATTTCGTCTCAGAGATGGAAACACCTCCCCAGAGATGACAGGCATTGGTACCTTAACCGAGCCCGTTGTTGTGGATATTGTCTTATTAAATGCGTTCTGACTGCTATCAAGTGATTTACTATTTCCAGTGCTCTTGATGACACCGGCACTACCATTTCCTTCTGATTGAATTATGCAGCTATATACCTCCATCACGGTAGCGTTTGTCTCATTTCGTGTCCCAAAAACATTCACTGCATACATCCCAGCAATAGGTAGCTCCAAAGCATAGTAACACATGTTATCTTCTCTTTTTTCTTCTCCTGTCATTGTGTTTTTACCGTGTGGATTGTTGTTGTGGAGCTCAAAATGTAGGTTGACATTTTCTGCCACGGCAAATTGCAGTGTAATTTTGCCGTTGACTGCCACTTTTCTATCCCGAGTATCTCCATGTTGTACTATACCGAGTTCAGCAGCACCTGATTTGATCCCCGTTTGGTTTCCTAACACGTTCGGAAAAGGTGATATTTGAGATTCATGCTGCATTTCGCATTTTAACAGGAAACTTAGAATATTTCTGTTCTTGTTTTTATTCTTGGCTTTTTCCTTTGTTGTTGCAAATATGTTAATTCCATATTCGCCGCTTTTTGGAATTCTGACGCTGATTGTGCAGGTATCTTTGCCGACCTCAGACACTGTATATCGGCTAAGTGTCGCCTCATCCACATGCATACTTTTCATTGTGTGAGTAAGTTTTGCTACTCCTTTCGTTTTCAACTTGATATCAACTGCACCTGTGTCAGTGCTGATAATTGCTCCAATAGGCGTAGCTGGAGTAAGCCCAAGTGCTGACGCTACTGGGTTGGGACCCCATCCCAACAAAGGGATATCTGGCAGGATCTGACAATTTGGTGTCGCTGCTTTACACTTAATGGCATACGAAACAAGTAAACTATACGGTTCATCTCTGGTGACATCCGTACCATATATATCAAACCGAAACATACCTTCACGTGGAAAATTAAGAGTAAATTGAACTCTGTCGAGTGCATGTTGCATCATCACGTGTCGTTCTAGTGCTGTTCCTGTTCTATTGACATCAGACTGTAGGCCTCTTGTTTGCACAAGCGTGTATTTGAATCTGAAATCCTTACTCCTTTTTTCCGGAAGATCAAGTGGTATCCGCAGAGGTTTCCCATCGGAAAGCAGTATACAGGGTTTATTTTGCAGCTTTTTAGGCAAAGTTAATCCCATTTCAAAAAATCGTTCTCGAATATATGTTTGCCGTTCGAATTGCTTCAGAGTGATGGGCTGCGATAGCAGCTGCCACTGTGGGTCATCGGGGAAATGCGTGTAAATCAGACTCTCGGGATCAGCCAGGAAGAAAGCTTCGTTTTTTTGCTGCTCATTTCCGTCTTCTTTGCTGACATTGGAGTGAACACTGATGTTTCCCTCAATATCGACGTAGATCTTGTCATGCTTTCCTCCATCATCCACAGTAGAAATCGCCCAGTACACGTCGATAAGACGCCACTCGCCGTTTATCAACACAGCGTTCCATCTTGCGCCGTGTAGTTTCTTGTCGATGGTATCTCCTATGTTGTATCCACCATGCTTGGTTACTCCGTTGATAATAACACATGGTAGCTTAGCCATTCTGTAAAGAATGAACAAGAAAAGGAAATTTTCTGTTTTATTCATTTAAATTTTATTCAATATACATTATCGATGTTTTTCTTACTTTATAGCTTGTATATATCTTTATAGATCATCATGTTGATTAAATTGTTGTTCACCAAATACTCACAGGCATAAGGCATATAATAAATGGGCGTGGTCGCCAAAATCCCATCTAATTTTAGTAAAGTAGTCCAGTGGTGAGTTTTCTGGAGGAATGATATCTGTGTCAATATTATTAACGTTGTAAGAAGTCATCCAACTGAACAAGGCCCTGGCACGATACATGTCGTCCAGGACATCAAAGTTAATGGCCATCACTAAGTGTTCTATCAAATCCCAAAAAGATCCAAATAAAAGTGTCGGCGGTACCTGTGATCGACAGTAAGCATTGTAATATTAAACAATGACTTTTTAGTAATGCTTCAAAACCATTATCAGTAGGAAATGTATGCCATTTTTGAAAGTACATTGTATCTTGATACAATGCATGTAATCATGAATACCGAGCTGGCAGCGTCCAGTGTAATATTTATTTTTTCTCTTCTTTAACAAATTGTGTCATCCGTAGGACACTTTTTAACAAACTGGATGTGAACTTACATTGCACGCAAACTTGTCGATGCTTTTGAAGTTGACACCTTTGGTAACCTGGAGCTTGGTTGTTGTTGGTGGTACCGCTGGTGGATAATTTTCCTCTGTTATTGTGCCCTCATCTGTGGCTAGCTCGGACACCTTGTAGATATATCAGTTTAATGTATCTAATATTACAGTAATATGTACACAGTTTATGTATTATATCGATAGAATAAAACATTCGTTGACTTTAAAAAATGTCAGTTTCCTAATACATGAAAGAATCTTAAGAAGAATTTTTTAACCCCTTAATACATCTTTATTTGCCATCCTACTTCATCCGAAACAGAAATAAATATCACTGAATATTTACAACGACTTCGTTTTTTCCTAGCGACAACTTTACTTGTTTTGTGATGAGTATATTTCTAAAACTATCAAAATAACAGAAATACCACATTTTGTTTTTAACTTTTAAACTTTTCGCATAATGAAGAAAAAAATTGATGTTTTTTACCTCGATGTCCTCTTCCTTAGACGGCACACTCCCCATGGTAACGTTTGAAAATATATCAGTGCTTACAAAGGCGACATAATATACAGTAATTAATAATTGTACACAATTGTGTTATCACTTGGATGGTAGACTACACAATAGTGTAACTACCACTGTATGTCTATGTTGACTTCTCGATGGTCGGAGTTATCCGTCCTTCATTGTACCGTTAACGGGTTTAAAAGAAAGGAGTTTACCTCTGTAATATGTTATATTATTTAACAGGTGGGTTTTTTTATTTAGAAAGCATTAAGGAGATAGCATTAGGGTCAACGTTAATATGAAGTGAATATAAACGTAATAGAAAGGTGTAATTCCCGTGTTTATTTAACTGATAAGATATCGTCTTTTTAACTGTATTTATTTGGACAACAAGCAAATACCTAACAATATATATTATCGCCTTTAGTAATTATCCGTCGTATCAATATTTTGTTTGCTTCTTTTCTTCCTTTACTCATGCACTAGAACTACCAAAGTTTTTTTCGATACTCAGAATCGGTTTTAGTGGAATGTATTCTTTTATAGGTATTTTCTTTAAAGTCAAATACGTTGTTATTTAAATTTCGATTGTTACGGCCGAAAAAGTAGATACAATTGTTTTATTCTCATTAGAGCGAGAAATGGGTGATATCAACTTCCGACAAATAGATTTCGTATAGAAATGAATTCTGAATTTCAAAATACGATTCTGAAACACGTTTAATTGTAGTATCAGAAACTTTCAACATAAAGCATGTGTCTCCTTTGAGTAGGTATATGTACTTACAGATATCGCAATGTGTACCTTCAATGATTAACTTTCGCGCTGTTCAGTTTTTAAAGTGTGTACTCGTTTAGAATCTTGATTGCTGGCGGACTTTCCAATCCCTGTTGATGCATTCTAATAGTGGCACGATACAAAATGAATGCAAATTAAGAAATCAATGGAATTATGGGCCTAGCGCACCTCCTCATCTTGATTCTGACATTTTGTTTCGATCATTTTCCCTCAGTCGTCACAGGTTTCTTAATTTAGGCACCTAGCATTACTGCCGAATCCTATGAGTCAAAATCGTGATGGAAGGAACCAGACAACGTCAACTGGATATTAAACAACGAACATTTCGGCAAGTAAACTTTGTAAAATGTGTCCGTGTGGTCAGATAATACAGCTTACTCATTATGTATTCATATCAGTTATTTGTATAATCGCTACGGTAATACGATATGAAGAATAGTATCATTAAAAAGTACGTATCTAATTTTCATTACAAGCTATCCGTTATTACGTTTTCAAATCTTGATGTAATCAATTTATCTAGTATGCGTTTTCAATTAAGTAAAACAATCTTAGCCTGGATCTTCAACGTAGGATAGAGAGACAGTATCATAGATATACATACTGTTACAACACAAGTGCAGCTGGTATCGTTTGGTAAATATATTCATCTAAGTTTGCTTCGTTTGACAGGTTGCCGGTCTTTTAAACCATGAGATCACCGTTAAAGCAAACTTAGACTGAAGTGTCCGATACATCCATTTGGAAATGGATTTTTTTATCGCAAAATGAATTCTTTGTAACTGTCATTTTCTCCTTTAACGTTCAAGTCTCAATTCAATTTAGGTTACCAGGGAAAATTACAACTGCACTCGGGTAAATTTGACATACTTTAATACTTTAATTTATTCGGGTTGCATTGTAGTTTTCCCCGGTAACAAATTCAGAAAGTTTATACTTCAACCATTAAAGACATTTTCGTTTTACCAATTTCGATAAGATTATAGACACAAAAATAGCAAAAATCTTCGATTTGCCGGCCTTTACCACACCAACAAAATGAACATCAAATCTGTAATATTTCCTATCAATTCATATATCATTTGCTAAAAACAAAATTCCAACTTTTATTCTATTCCGTAGAAGAAAATCCTCAAACGTTTCACAAAGATTGACATAAGGGCCATATTTCAAACAGACTTTATTTTGCATAGAAATTTTAAAACGGGCGAAATTCAAGCCAATAATAGTTATACAATAACGTTCCGCGGGTCACTACACGCGAGAGGAAGAATTCCGGTATGATAATCGGTGTATCATGATCATGATAGTGAAAAAGTAATAGTCAATTAAAATGATAGCTGTAAATTTTACTAATCGAATAAAAAAAGTTTAGTTATCAAATCGAGCATTCGTGATATTTTAGTAGAAATTGTAATGAAGTAATATATGTATGTGTGCAAGATTCGCAATGGAAATTCTGAATCACTATGACAACGAATCTAATATATCGTCGACATACCAAAGCAAAATCTAGCAACAATGATTATTTTACAAAGTCCTTAGTACAACACAAGGTCGTTCAGTTCACAATGCCGAGACGCAGCGCCTCTATTGTGTGATATATATGTTACTTGGTATTCGACCAAACAATCTCGAAGTATTAAAATACGAGAGATTTTGATTAAAACAGTCCTTTAGATTGATTAGAATGAAAGTAATAAATAATAGCATGTCACCTCAAAGGAAGCAAACCACAGACACGTGATTTAAAATCGTTTTACATTTATTGACATTTAATGACAAACTATTGCCGAAGTATACATAGATATGCTTATGAAAATTACCTAAATTAGTGGCATTCAATTTTAGCATCCCACAATACTTCAACAATTTGTGTTCTGTTTACATTTAACACGACACAAACTACTGCAGGTTAATGTGTAACAGGAATTCGACATTAAACTATATTATATTATATATTATAAAATTTAAATTATACATACATCATATAATAGTATTGGGGTATTTTTGTAAAACAACTTCAGGTTTTATTTTACAAAGTATCTTTAAGATTAATTTCAATATACACACGCATTTCGGCAAATACTCCATTTTGATAACTATAATTAATAATGTTGAAATAGCATTATAAGTATAATACACATAACCAAGAGTACTAAAAGTCCATCTTTTTGTTTCACGCCAACAGATGTGATATGTATCGTATATCTACATCCCCTTTTATGGTATGGTTTTCTGATGTTTATAAGTATAAGCCCTCATCAATCTAATTGAAATTACTTTAACCATCTAAAATTAATAATTAAAATCTTAACCAATAGTTCTATTCAACTTCTCATATTCAATCAGGCATTACCCGTATTTCCGTCCTTCTATATTTAAAAAGACACAGACTTAATCCCTTTTTAATTGTTTGCCGATGTCATACCTCGTGCACCTCCCTATGTCAATTCTGTAAGAGTTCTCTCCCTTATAATCATTACAAAGCAATATAATGTTATGACTATATCTACCTTTCTGATGTCACAAAACATTTCATTTGAAAACAAGTGATCGTTATACTGCTCACATGTACATATTCATCAAATTTTAAATTTCACACAGGACATGTGTGACACAGAATTTCTGTAACATAGAATTTCAGTTTAAACACATCCTCAGGTCGAGGCCAACACTATGTCTTAGTATACGCCCACAGCCATATTAGATATGAATTGTAGTCAGTATTTGTCTTAGAAAGATTGATACTGTTTGTTTTACGGTCATTCTCGTGATATATGTAAGCACGGTTGTTCCTAAAATAAGGAATTCCAGCTAGGAGTGACATAATACTGGTAATGTTGTAAATATATTACATATCATTGTCATGATGTTACAAAAGGTACAAAGACGTCTTAAGGAACATAATGAACACACATAGCAACAAATTAACAGGTTCAAGGAATCCTAATCAATCAACGACACATGTAAAGATCATAATATGAATGGATCACTAAATATGGATGTATCACCAAATATGGACGTATCTCCAAATATGGATATCACCAAATATGGACGTATCACGAAATATGGACGTATCACCAAATATGGATAAATGAAATTCTGTAAAGAAATTATGTAAAATCAATGAATAAAAATATGCTCAGGATTATGTCCAAGTGTTCATAATACAATAGTGAAAAAGAAAAAAAATACAATATACATATAATTGTTATACAACTAATGAAAATATCCGGGCGAAAATTGAAGTAAAGAAATAGTGTTACTTATTTACGACATACCTTACAATTATTATATACTAATGAAAATAGGTTAATATTGAAAAACCACATCTAACATTCTAAGTATCAACAAGACGAGGACTATAATAAAAATAGTTTGGTAATCTGCCTTCATCATAAGTAAAACGTATCCCTTAATTGTTGGTGTTAGTTGATGGAAATGACGTAGACAAAAATGATGGTTTTAGGGAATTTTACCAGAGACATTGATACGTTATGCCTTAAAATTTATCATAAACCGTCTTATTTTTTTTTAAGTCAATCTTTGTTATTTCATTACAATTTAAGTGTATTCTGATGGATTACTTCTAAATGAAATGTTACTGTATCGTTAAGTGTTACTTCCTCACGTGTAACCATGTGCAGGTGAGGACAGTCTTTTGATTTACAACACACAACTTTAGCAAATAATAAAAATACATTAAAGTATTCTACTGACAAAATTCGCTATGACGATAGAAACTCCGGTATTCAGGATGTCGCTAAAATCAAATAATGTTAATCGACTAATACAAAAACAAATAAAATTCTGAACAGGTATGTATGACTATGTGTAAGCAGTGTATTTCTACTGATTGGTCATATACACCAACAGTTTTACCATAGGTCAATTAATGAAATTCCGTACTGAAATCTTCCAAAATTTCATTACGAAAAAAAAAAAAAAAACGAAATGTGAAAATTGTTGATAAACAGCTTGATAATATACGCCAACAGTTTTACCATAAGTCAATTAATGAAATTCCTTACTGAAATCTTCCAAAATTTCATTACGAAAAAAAAACATAAAAACGAAATGTGAAAATTGTTGATAAACAGCTTGAAAAATGGATATCTCATGTATCCAATAGGAAAATTATATCGAAACATGGAGCGAGGTATCACTGCAATGTGATTCAGCCTTACACATACGTAAAATTCCTCGTGAACTCTCAAAGAACAAGAAATAGACACTTGAAAGACTGTAATACGGAATATCATACACGTATCATGAAGAACGTATTTAACTAGCATAATATCAAATTTGTAAGGAACTATTTTTAAGTACAGGGGTAAAAACCAATTATGAAGAGAAGAAACAATAAGCCTCCACTACTTATGTTATGGTGTGTATTTATGTTTGAACTAGTTAGGTGTAAATGTTCGAAATGCTTCTAAATCATCATGACAATTGTGTCCGACCTATCTAAGGTATCATCCTGTAGAACAGCAGAGCGAGGAGGCAGCTGATGAGTTGAACGTGCCTTGTCAGGCCTAGAACCACTCCTTCCCATTGTTTCTATCTCGCCAATCATCCCCTTAGCCTAGAAGAAAACGAATATTCTTCATTAATATATCATTAAAATATCATAAATAAATATATCAGCGTTATTGATGTCTCATTTAACATTACCAAAACGATGGACGTTATGCCTTAGTGTCACATTTCATGAGTTATCTATCTTGAAATCATTTTAAGTCAATTGTCATCTTGTCTCGTGGAATCTACATTTAACCTAAAATAAATACAATCTGACTAGATATACAACCTAAATAAAGACCTACCCATACATAGAACGCTGAAGCCCCGAGGCTGGCGTCACGGATCTGTACCACTGAGTATGGTGCAATGATTCTTTTTGAAGTAGCAGCGACGTCTTTGGATATGAGCTTCGGATTAAAACCGGATATGCGTCTCATTATATTTTCTTTTCCGGTTTTAAACAAAAGTGATTGGCATGATTTCCAAGTCTGTAATGTGCGATACAAATACTTCTTTACATGTAGAACACAAAATCAATAGATCTTGAAAATAACGCTGTAGAACATATTTCAATCGTTTCGATTTGTATGTAACATTGTTTTAATTCACAAACATTTGTCCCATTTAGCAAATCAGATTAAAAATACACTTGAATCAATAAATCAACATGTTTTTTTTTTAATTCATCAAACAATTAAAACAGTACTTGATGTAATCATTAATGAACGTATACCTTCAACAAAGTGGGTTCTTCCCCTAAGATAAGAAAAGTGGCATGTAATGATTCGTGAACACCGGGTGGTGGGGTAATATACTTCTTCATTTCCACCAGAGCGTTCTGGTTTATTTGAAGTACAGTCTGCGACAAACGCTCGATGCGATTTAGGCGTTTGAGAAGTTGAGAGGCTAAGATTATCTGGATGTCGATCGCCTTGCCATGGTTTACTTTCTTTGCTTTACGGATAGCCCTCTCTAAAGCAGGAACCTCCCGAATGTTGCATGCCATTTTCAAATCTGTAAGAATTACAACATTATTCAAAATTTAAGATATCATCTGGCATACCTACAAAATAAACAATATTACAAACAGTTATACCTGAAAAAGACATTCGGTTTATTCAAACACAACCATATCGAATGTTCCTGACAAATATCATTCATGTAGAAATATAATTATATAAATATTGAATGAATCTTTACTTTGAAATAATATTTTTTTTAAAAAAATGGTTCCAGTTACCTACCCTCTTTCGCTCGAAGCTGGGAAACCATTCTTGAAGCTTCTTCAACCAGTACTGTATCCAGAGGGTCCTTTGTTTTCTTAAATTCTTGCAGTTGATATACAAGGTCCTTTAAATCTTTTTTCTTCATTGCTTGTGCAACACTCTTTTTTCTTTCTCTTACTACAAATGTATAAATACAATGATATAAATGAAGTTCATAAAACATGATTCCCTTTGTTTATACACTTCTGAATATCATCTCATTATCAATGGGACGACTTTCTTCACACCCCTACACTTCAGAATGGCGTAAATTACGCAACCGATGAAGACACAGTCCCGTCTGATACAATTCAAATTATTGATGATTTCGAAGTTTTGAGGGCGTGAACCGTCAGATTGTGTTTCTCTTATTGTAATAGTATAATATAACTTTAGTGATATACCTACCTTCCGCTATTCTCTCCTCTTCGCTGTCGTATTCGCTGTCTGACAAGGAATCGAAATCACTGGAATGAATAGTAGACTCGCTATGATAATCACCATCGTTCATGTCAATGTCTTCGCTTACTGCTTTATGTTGAATTGGTCCTTTTTTGCCATTTTGATTAAATCTTGGTGTTGTGGTAGTCGAAACTTTCCTTCCTTTAGCGCCGTTCATATTTATTCTACCTGAGACAACATTTACTTTCTTATTTCCTTTTTTCTTCAATGGTTCCCGTGTTTCTTTCTTCAGTGCTCTTTCACCTGTTGTAGGATTGTCGTTTTCATTGTCGATGTTTGAATAATTTTCAGTTGATGAAATGATCAACAAAGCAGAATCCAAGGTAGTTGGACTTACACACGTGTTTTGGTTCAAAGGTACTCTATTAGAATCTGTGTTATTTGATGTTCCAGAAGTGCCAGTTTTAGCTGTAGTAGTTTGGTTTCTATTGTTTCGCTTTGAGGTAGCAACGATTGCATGAGCTGCCGCAACGGTATTTGGACTAAAGCTTCTTTGCATCTCTTTGTCAGATGAAGTCCCCATCGGTTTGCCATTTTGAAAATTGGATGTGGTTTCGCCATTATTCACCGCTTTAGACATTGTGACATCCATTTTGCTTATCGAAGCAGCAATGGTTTTAGAAGCCTCAGATAGGGCAGCAGGACTTAATGTAGCCATCTTCGTAAAGTCACGCCTTTCTTCAAGTTTCTTGTCATTTTTGCTTTTCTTTTTATTTTTGCTATCGGAGGCCTTTTCATTGCTGTCCTTCCGATCCCTTGAAATCGTTTTATCATTTCCCTTGATATCACGCGAAGCAGCTGCAACAATGACGGCTGCTGCTTTAAGTGTTTCAGGATCAATATCTCGAACGTCGTGTTCCGATTCCCCTTTCTGATCGGAGGTTCCTTGTTTACGTCCTGCTGCTTTAACAATTGCAGTTGCTGCTGCCAGTGTACTAGGATCTATCCGTTCTGATGATAATTTTGCTTTACCTGATTCTATGCTGTTGGGTTCATTGTTAATATTGCTTGAGTTCGTCTCGTTATCGGCATTGCCATTAGTTTTTGTTTCGTGGTCATTTTTTGTGTTCTTTTTCGAGTCTTTCTGAGTAGAATTATTTGTGCCATCGTTTGGTATGCGTTGTTCATTTGTAGAAGGTTTTAGCATTGTGGTGGTTGTAGCTACCGCTTTGGGATCTACTCTTTGAGTAGTCATAGCAGATGCATCGCTAGTGTAATTTAAATTTTCGATTGAGTCCTTCGAATACATGTCAGTCTGTGCATCAGCTTTTGTAGCTTTTCTTGACGCGTGTGTATTCTGTTGTTTTGGTTTTGTTTTTGAGCTATTTCGTTTTTTCCTATTTTTTGTTTCATCGTGTTTTTTCGATGCCACTACCAAAGCAACTGCAGCAGCTAACGTTTCCGGGTCAATATTTTCTTCACTAGTTGCACTGTTTGTCATAACTTTTGTCCTGTGTAATTCAACTCCACTGTCTGTAATTTGCGGGTTTGATGGGACTGTCTCTACAATAGAAAGTGCTGCGGCAATCACCTCTGAGCTCATGGATTCAGAAGAACCATATTTCTGTAAGATGTCGTTACCCTCTGCCTCTCTTCCTGGCGATTTTTTATCAGGATATCGCAGTTTCATGTTTTGTTTTGCTACTGCCACGATAGCAAATGCAGCATCTAATGTCTCCTGACTTACTGTTTTTTCTTTGTGAGACCAATCTCCGGAATTTTTATCCTGTTTTTCAACTCCTCCCACATGATTCGTTCCTGCTGCTTTTACGATTGCAGTTGCTGTAGTTATTGCTTCAATATCAGTTTGTGGCTCACTGTTTTTTGTTGATGATCTTTTAAAGTCTTTCTGAATATCCCCTGTCATTCCTTCTTCTTCAGCCAATGCTATTATGTTTCTTGCTGCTGTCATTGTTTCACTATCAACAATTGGTGTATTTTTATCGTCAGATTTAGATTCGACGAGTGCAATGATAGACAGTGCAGCATCCAAGGTGTGCCGATCAAGATTTTGTCTATTTTCATTAGTTTTATGGTTAGTTCCATCGTCTTTATCCAACCTTTCATTCACTCCTGAATCCCTATCCTGTTCATGTGTGTTTTCATTTATTTGGGACGTTGTAATTAAAGCAACTGCAGCTGCCAACCTTTCAGCACTTACATTACTTACAGACCGCTCTATTCCACTAGATGAGTCTGTATGGTGTTTATGTGTAGCTGTGGTTTTCCTCTTCTTTTCCCTTTCTTCTTGTTCTGCCGCTTTAGCTATTTCTAACGCCGCTGCTAACGTATCTGGGCTAATACTACGATCTCCTACGTTTATGTCTTCTTCATTGTTATCTTCAGACTTGGGAGTTTTATGCTTTTTTCCTTGTTTCTCTTTTTGGCGTTTTTTCTTTTCCTCCTCCTCTTTTCGTCTTTGCTCTTCTTTTTCCTTTTTAAGCAACTCCTCTTGTTTTTTCTTTTTTGCTAATGCTTTTTTATGTCTTTTTTGTTCAAGGGCATTTTTGAATTGACGGGTCTTTTCTTGCGGTTTGAGCATTTTTACCAGAGCATCTATATCACTTGTATATGTCTTAAATGATGGACTTTTGCTAATCGTGAACCGCGCTATTGTGGTAACGACGTTTTCTTGTTCCTTTTCGTATATTTCTAGTAAATATTCCCCATCACTTTTCAAATTTATTTCTAAACTGTCTCTCTGTATAAGTACCGTTGCGAGATTTATACCTTCGTTTTTCTTTGCATCTCTCCTGGATATGTTTGCATAGAGTACCTCTCCATCTACTGGATTAGGCACGGATATCACAATTTTGTCTTCCGATGTCTTTATTGTTTCAACGACGACATCATCTGGACCAAAGTCATCAGTGAATTTGACCTCTTTAATTGGTCGTCCTTTTGACTTCACTCTATAAGTTTGTACTTCATGGAGGGTCAATGGATCGCTTTTCGCAATTGCAAAGATATTAAGCGAGTACTCTCCGGCGATCGGCATGTCTGCTACAAATATCCACCTATCTCCTTCCTGCTTAGTGTGTACAGATAATCTGCTTTGACCTTCTTTTGTAGCACAAGCTAGTTCACAGAGAAGTTGCACCTTTTCGTCCGCTTTGAACACAAAACTTCCCTCTCCTTCCAGTACGTCGACATTATCACATTGATATGTCAATGCCTTGACTCCGAACTCAGTGTAACCACTCTTTTTACCAAGATGAGCACTTGCGATGATTGGAAATGGTGAGTTCTTTGCTCGTTTTCCGGATGGAACTTGATACTTGATGAGAAATGTTAGCAAATCCGTTGTTTGTATCGGTAATTCACGCTGTGTTGATGCAAATACTTTTAATGCATATTCACCTTCTTCTGGTAAAATTAGATCTACAACATATTTATCTTCCTCAAGTATTCCTATTGCATGCTTAGTGAGTACCGCCTCGTCCATAAGAATATTCCTCAAAGCATGATTGATATCAAGGATACCCCGCCGAGAAACACAGATTTGACAAATTCCGTCAGCGGTTCGAATAGAGGTTTCTTCTGGTATCAAAGGCACCAGGCCAGCTGTACCAGAAAATGGATTTGGACCCCAACCGAGCAAAGGGCAATCAGGGAAAGGTTGATGATTCTTCGTTTTCTTCGAAACGTGAATGATGTATGTACAAACTAGTTCATACCTGGATGAAATCCACGAGTCAGCTGCGTAAATGTCAAACATGAACCTGCCAGTAATTGGGAATCGCAATTTTAATTTCAACATGTTAGTTCTATGGTCCATTCGGACAAATCGTTCAAAAACTATATCAACTTCCTTTTCTGTTTCAACTTGTTTCCTTGTTTGCAACAAAGCGTATTTGAATTTTACGCTATGAGCATTTTCTTCCGGAATGTTAAGCACTATTTTTATCGCATCATCTTGAGTTTTGATAACACAGTTCTTTTGTATGGAATCTTGCGGAATGATCAACCCCAAATTATGGTATTGTTCCCTTACATAAGCATTCCGTTCAAATTCACTCGCATCTATGGGTTCATCCAGCAATTGCCAGTCTTTGTTATCCGGGAAATGCGTGTAAATCATATGATCAGGGTCACACAAAAAAAAGAATTCGTTCACAGAAAATTCCAAGTTCTTGTCCTCTGTCTCCCGGGTAACCTTGCCTTTAGAATCGACATATATGATTCCTGAAGACTGTTGCGGTGCTGCTACTTTTGCCCAGAACGTGTCGATAAGTCGCCATTCTCCTGACACCAAGACCGCATTCCATTTGCCCTGCATTTTGTCCCTGTCCACTGCCTCGCCTATTTCGTAGCCTCCTCCTTTACTCATCCCATCTATGACCACACATGGAATATCAGCCATTCTATAATCAATAAGTTTATTTATTTGAGGAAAGACAACAATATTTACCCTAATATATGTATTAATATAGTGTACTACCTTTCACTTTCATGATTACCTCAATGTAGAAGTTAAGGCCGCTTTATTTATGGCCTATAGACGTTACTTGAATAATTAAGCTACCGTATCACAAACATAAATATTTAACAAATATCCTATTAATTGCACAATATCAAAATTTTTAATTAAATGAAATACAAACTGTTACATCACGTGACGTACTTGCATAGACTGTAAAACATATGCGCGTGGTCACCAAGGTCGTACTGGATCTTCATAAAGTATTCAAGAGGTGACTCCTCAGGGGGGATAATTTCCGTGTCAATTGTGTAAACATCAAACGACGTTATCCAACGGAAAAACATTCTTGCCTTTGATAAATCATCCAATACTTCTCCTTCTGGTGTTATCACAAGATATTCCACAACGTCCCAGAATGTCCCCAGTAATATATCGAGAGGGGCCTGTAATGGAACAAAATAAACATAATAGCGAAGAGAGAAAGCAAAACATTCAATTAAAATGGTTCATCTATAAGTGTAAGTTAATGTAATATATTTTACAAATATTGCAAAATAAGTCATCTCAGCTTATACCAATCACTATCGTTGTCCTTGAAGGAAGCACGCGAGATGTCGTACTGCGGGAGAAAACTAAAGCACGCAAAGAAACCTTTGTGACCGAGTAGATGACCTTCTGCCGCCGTTCGGTGAATCGAACAGTCGTTTTTCACGATGTCAAATTTTCATATTCACCAATGTTGCTTGAGCATAAGAAAACAACGGTGCATATTTTACATAACATCCTTTTTTCTATTTATATAACAGCAGTGCTACAAAAACATCCGATAAAAATTTCAATGAAATCTATATCTATACCAATCAGAGATCATAGAATGGCACGTGCATTGTCAAAAAGACATGAGGATTGGGACATCGGGCATATATTACATGCCAGTCTTATATTGTTTTATTTACGGCAAATCAGGTTATTCCCTTTGGTTTCCATGAAGAAACACGTGAGGCAATATACATGTATCTTCAAAGTATGTTCTTGTGCACAAGGATATATAATAATATCAATATTTTCAATGTTATATTAATTCATATATTTCGATATGAATATAACAATTACACCTACATGCAGTGCTATCTCATCCAGCACATCAAAGTTGATGCCTTGCAATATAACAGCTTTATCATTGACGGGAGGGACTGGTATTGGTGTTCCATCCGCTGCGATTGTGCCTGCTGGTGGTTTCTTTGGCTTTCTCAAAACCTGCAAGTTGAAATACTTACCATTAGAATAAAGTGCTATGTAACTTATGGTAGAATTTCATATAATTTTATCACGATTGGTAGAATTCAATATCATTTTATCACGATTGGTAGAATTCAATATCATTTTATCACGATTGGTAGAATATTGTATCATTTTATCACGATTGGTAGAATTCAATATCATTTTATCACGATTGGAAGAATATTGTATCATTTTATCACGAGGATTTATCATTTTATCTACAATATTGTATCATTTTATCACGATTGGTTTCAATATCATTTTATCACGATTGGAAGAATATTGTATCATTTTACTAGGATTTCAACTACACTTTATCATTTTATCAAGACTGGTTGAATACTGTATCATTATCATATTGTAGATAATTCGTAGAGGATTGACAGAAAATTGTATCCTTTTTCACAATTGTTAGAATATTGTATCATTTTACTTAGATTGGTATAACACATTTGTATTTTATCAGACCTGGTAGAATATTGTGCTGTTTTATCAGACCTGGTAGAATATTGTGCTGTTTTATCAGACCTGGTAGAATATTGTGCTGTTTTATCAGACCTGGTAGAATATTGTGCTGTTTTATCAGACCTGGTAGAATATTGTGTTATTTTATCAGACCTGGTAGAATATTGGTTTTTAAATATTGTATTGTGCTGTTTTATCAGACCTGGTAGAATATTGTGCTGTTTTATCAGACCTGGTAGAATATTGTGCTGTTTTATCAGACCTGGTAGAATATTGTGCTGTTTTATCAGACCTGGTAGAATATTGTGCTGTTTTATCAGACCTGGTAGAATATTGTGCTGTTTTATCAGACCTGGTAGAATATTGTGCTGTTTTATCGGAACTGGTTAAATATTGTGTTATTTTATCAGACCTGGTAGAATATTGTATAATTTAAAGAGGACTTTTAAAATATTATATTGATTTGAGAGGACTGGCAGAATTTTGTGAGGATTTTTACAATATCTTAACAATTTATCAGGATTGGTAGAATACGTCATCATTTTCACAGGGAGGAACAACTTTATGTCACTTCATTCGAAGAGAAGTAGTAGAATACTTTATCACTTGACCTGGTTTAGTAGAATGCATCATTCTACCATAATTGGTTAAATATTTTGTCACTATAAGAGGACTGGTAGATAACAATACCATTTTACCAAAGTTAGCAAAAGAGTATTTCATTTTAACATTTCTGGTAGAATACTGCATAACTGGAGAGGTAGAATATCAATCTATCACTTTAAAAGGATTGCGGGAGAATAATGTTACCTTTTATCTGGGTTTGTTCAGTTTTAATAGGGTTAATTAAAAGTTGTGAAGTAATTTAGAACTGATAAAGCCTTTTGCCAGTTAACCGATATTCCAAAAACATTGTAATATTCTACCCGGTATGTTTACGTTGCATAAGATTATTCGTTTAACACCAACATTCTTCAATATTCTAATTTTTGAAAACATTATGACGAAATTGGTCCGCAGGAGAAATGGAAAAGCGACGATGTCTGACAAATGTTCATTTCTTACTTCTAATCATGTTCAGAAGCAAGGGTCAAAATAAAATGAGATCGACGCTATTGTCTTCTTTCAAAAAGCTTAAAATAAGTGATGAAATTGATATGTCACAGTAAGCGCTTGATGACCAATAGCTATTGTGTGAAACTGATAATGAAATGGCTACCAGGAAGAATTATGAAATACATATATCTTTCTAAAATTATAAAATGGCGACCTCCATGGAATATAAAAAAACATATCTGTTTCATTAATAATGAAATGAATACCTGCAGGGATTATAAAATACGTGTCTCTGTCATAGATAATGAGATGAATTCGCTCTCCCATGCTGATTAACTATATACTTTACCGCTTTTTGTACTGTTTTGGTAACAGCTGATGCCACCGATGACGAACGGCTTCCCTTGGATGAACTCGATCCCATGTTATATGCACTTAAATACTATCGGAGGAGGTTACTTGTTTAAATTGCACGGCATTTCACAATCTAAACACCAAATATCTGGGATTGTGTTGAACTCCTGTGGGTCGGCACCATTACTGTCATGGTTTGTTAGCTGATCGAAGCTCCGGAATGTCACTCGCTGTTGACACCGTTTCACTGCCACATTTAGCAACACATTGTATAAAGATATACTTTTAAGTGGTTAAGCATAAAAGTCCAGAGCCACATCGTTGTAAAGTTGATATCATACTTACACTTCTTAAAACTTACTAGTTATTAAGACAAATCCATGTCACATTCTTCGACAATAGCGAAAAAGATATCATTTATAATTATCAACAGCTTCCCAATGTGTTATAACCCATCAGTTCGATACGTCAGTTTTAAATACCGAATTAGATACAATAACCATGTATAATTAACACGAGATTTACTTCCTATTGTAACTCCATAAGGTTAGCTACTATTGTAAAGCCTTAAAACGTAAAACATTCAATGCATTTCGGTTTAGTCGGCTAATCGATTTAACTCGCTCAGGATGGCTGGATTTCATTCCGTCAAGCGTTACCATTGTTTTTATTTGAACTGAGGTACTCAGAAAGGAGATTACGTTAAAGCCTTATTATTACATAGATTAACGACGTATTTATACCCATTGTGGATAAGTTTTCAATTTGCCGTGGACTATACGTAACTGAAATAATATTTGTGTCAGTGGTTCAAAGATCAACAGCATTAACAAGAGGTACTCAGGTATATAGTTTTATCGCCTATCTAAACAAGTGAATCTGTTTCAATGTTACCTTCACTGAAATATCAAATTATAAACTAAAATATGTAGAAAAAAATTTATTCGTCTTTATTTTTTTAATTTTCTTTTCACTTTTTATTTATTTATTTATTCAACAAATCTAATTTTCAAGATACATTTCATACATGACCTTAGAGGGGGAGGGAAGGGCAAGATTTGTCGGTTCACTAAACTACTTTAACGATTCGCTTGTGCCCTGTAAACCACTCTGTATAATATAAAATTCTGATAGTCATCGTTAGACAAATGATGAAGGTTTACTAACTGTGCGTAGCGAATAATTTTGAGATTTCTTTTCCTTAGTAAATATACAAGGTTTACACATTTATCTGTTACCTATCAATATCGAATCTCGCAGTATCGTGTGTCAAATGTTCAGTATGGTCGAATATTCTCTTACATATCAATATAGAATCTCACAGTACCATGTGTCAAATGTACAGTGCGGTCGAATATTCTCTTACATATCAATATAGAATCTCACATCACCGTGTCAAATGTACAGTGCGGTCGAATATTCTCTTACATATCAATATAGAATCTCACATTACCATGTGTCAAATGTACAATATGGTCTAATATTCTCTTACATATCAATATAGAATCTCACAGTACCATGTGTCAAATGTACAATATGGTCTAATATTCTCTTACATATCAATATAGAATCTCACAGTACCATGTGTCAAATGTACAGTATGGTCTAATATTCTCTTACATATCAATATAGAATCTCACAGTACCATGTGTCAATTGTACAATATGGTCTAATATTCTCTTACATATCAATATAGAATCTCACAGTACCATGTGTCATATGTACAATATGGTCTGATATTCTCATACATATCAATATCGAATCTCGCAGTACCATGTGTCATATGTACAATATGGTCTAATATTCTCTTACATATCAATATCGGATCTCACATCACCGTGTGTCAAATGTACAATATGGTCGAATATTCTCTTACCTATCAATATCGGATCTCACAGTACCGTGTGTCAAATGTACAATATGGTCGAACATGAGAATACATCACCTTGAGGTAATAAAGACAGACAGATTTCTACACGTGGTTAAGCACCATTTCTGATGAGCATCAAACTTTCGTCCTGGTTCTTGTGATTTCTGTGCCTGCATAACACAGTGATGATTAATAAAATTGTTAGATATTACAAACGAGTTCCATGGTAACACGACAAAAAAGAACGAATGTCCTGGCCGTGATAGACGTCATTTTTCTTCTGATTAATGGCGCCGTTACTATCACTGTGACGTCACAATGTAATCCTCTGAATTAGATCAAATGTTCCAGCAGCAATGAACTGGAGAATATTCCGATGGTATGGTGGACAAGTAGCTGCCATTTTTCGGTAGTTTTGGACAGTAATTATTCACGCCCCTCTGTTAAATTAGCACGTTTTCAGCGGTACAAATATATGTGTATACTGTCTACAGATATTACTAAGTTAATTCTGAACACGTTTTTTGATGTATTTTGACAACTGTCTTCCATAGTTATAAAAACGATATGAGCAAGTACGACTTTGCTATGCGTTTAATTAATATGATTGTGTCCACTAGCTGTATCTGAGGAATGGCTGAATTAGTAACGATCTGAAGGTAATATCACAATTGCTTTCATGATTGTTCGCTTTCGTTTGGCTTATCCTAAATGCCAGAGAAGAAATTACATATCCTTTCATCTAATTATCCCGTTGTTATCCAATGAATTTGTCCAACTGATATCACATTCTGTTAGTGTATTATACCATGGAACATTTTTTTCATTATCTGCGCCAGTCAGAAATTAGCTTTAATGTCATGTAATAAACAATGATGTTACGTCATGAAAAGAACACACAATGACAGTATCTGTTTAATATATTGGAACATTTTCATCAGCTATCTGATCACCAGGATCACTGTCAGTGATAATTAAACCCCTCAGCCGTCTGATCACCAGGATCACTGCCTGTGATAATTAAACCTCTCATCCGTCTGATCACCAGGATCATTGCCTGTGATAATTAAACCCCTCAGCTGACTGATCACCAGGATGACTGTCTGTGATAATTAAACCCCTCAGCAGTCTGATCACCAGGATCACTGTCTGTGATAATTAAACCCCTCAGTCGTCTGATCACCAGGATCACTGCCTGTGATAACTAAACCCGTCAGCTGATCACCAGGATCACTGTCTGTGATAATTAAATCCCTCAGCCGACTGATCACCACGATCACTGTCTGTGATAATTAAACCCCTCAGCCGTCTGATCACCAGGATCACTGTCTGTGATAATTAAACCCCCAAGCCGTCTGATCACCAGGATCACTGTCTGTGATAATTAAATCCCTCAGCTGACTGATCACCAGGATCACTGTCTGTGATAATTAAACCCCTCAGCCATCTGATCACCTGAATCATTGTCTGTGATCGTTAAACCTCTCAGCCGTCTGGTCACCAGGATCACTGCCTGTGATAATTAAACCCCTCAGCTGACTGATCACCAGGATCACTGTCTGTGATAACTAAACCCGTCAGCTGATCACCAGGATCACTGTCTGTGATAATTAAACCCCTCAGCTGACTGATCACCAGGATCACTGTCTGTGATAATTAAACCCCTCAGCTGACTGATCACCAGGATCACTGTCTGTGATAACTAAACCCCTCAGTCGTCTGATCACCAGGATCACTGCCTGTGATAACTAAACCCGTCAGCTGATCACCAGGATCACTGTCTGTGATAATTAAACCCCTCAGCCGTCTGATCACCAGGATCACTGTCTGTGATAATTAAACCCCTCAGCCGTCTGATCACCAGGATCACTGTCTGTGATAATTAAACCCCTCAGCCGTCTGATCACCAGGATCACTGCCTGTGATAACTAAACCCGTCAGCTGATCACCAGGATCACTGTCTGTGATAATTAAATCCCTCAGCTGACTGATCACCACGATCACTGTCTGTGATAATTAAACCCCTCAGCCGTCTGATCACCAGGATCACTGTCTGTGATAATTAAACCCCTCAGCCGTCTGATCACCAGGATCACTGTCTGTGATAATTAAATCCCTCAGCTGACTGATCACCAGGATCACTGTCTGTGATAATTAAACCCCTCAGCCATCTGATCACCTGAATCACTGTCTGTGATAATTAAACCCCTCAGCCGTCTGATCACCAGGATCACTGTCTGTGATAATTAAACACCCAAGCCGTCTGATCACCAGGATCACTGTCTGTGATAATTAAATCCCTCAGCTGACTGATCACCAGGATCACTGTCTGTGATAATTAAACCCCTCAGCCATCTGATCACCTGAATCATTGTCTGTGATAACTAAACCCGTCAGCTGATCACCAGGATCACTGTCTGTGATAATTAAACCCCTCAGCTGACTGATCACCAGGATCACTGTCTGTGATAATTAAACCCCTCAGCCGTCTGATCACCAGGATCACTGCCTGTGATAATTAAACCCGTCAGCCGTCTGATCACCAGGATCACTGTCTGTGATAATTAAATCCCTCAGCCGACTGATCACCAGGATCACTGCCTGTGATAATTAAACCCCTCAGCCGACTGATCACCAGGATCACTGTCTGTGATAATTAAACCCCTCAGCCATCTGATCACCTGAATCATTGTCTGTGATCGTTAAACTGTTCAGCCGTCTTATTACCACATTATTTGTCATAGATAATGAAGCCATCCTGCCAGTTTTTTTATGTGGAATCCAAACAATACAAATGACAAACCAAAAAAAAATGTTTTAGTATTTTATATGGACAATATAGTAACAGATCTTTCAGATTTAGAAGAAAGAATTGAATACAGAAAAAAGTTTTATAAAACAACGTAGCGGAAGAACGTATGGCAAACAATTACAACATGAAATGAAGTTTAATTGATTTTGGACGGATAACATATTTATTTCAACAAATCAAAACTCTGGCACAGACTGTTGTATTCGTTCAATTTTTGATAATCTTTAAAAATCTAAATAGATACCAAACAAATAAAAGTATATTCTACAGGAAACATTATACACTTGACCGAGTAATTTTCTTTTATTTTGATTACTCAAAACCAATAATATATCGATGATATAATTCGAAAATGGAGTGTGAAAAATAACACTATAAGAATATCAAAGAATAAGCAAGTGTCAACGAACAAAACATGAACGTCTATAAATATATTGATGCGGGAGAAGACTTAGAATATTCTTATTAAAAACACTACTACAGATGATGACAAATTTGCGTTTAGTAATGAATGCATTGTATTCCGATCACCTATACCTCACTGAGGCTGATTTAGCCCTCCCCCTTGACCTTGACCTTGTTGACCGAACAGAACGCAGTGATCTCGTCGATCGGAAACTTCCGGTTCTTGAGTCTGGTAACATTGACAAACTTCCATATTTAGACATCGCTGACGCCGGACGAACAAACTGAAAGTGCATGTGTTTAAGCGCGTGATGTCTGTCTAGGCCCAAATCCTTAGGTGGACCAAAGTCTTTGAGGAAGTCCATCATTATATCCGAGAGGAACATCGGTTTCCCGACATCTGATATGTTGAAATCCCTCCAGGTAAAATGACCGGGACCCAAAGGACTGAAATATCGTGCCAAGCAAGGAGAATATGAGTCTTCACTTTTAGTCAATCAATAAACAGTAATGAAAGTAAGATTGACATGTGAAAAAGAGTATGTTCAGCAAGACATCATGTTTACATATATCACTTACAACATAAAGCATTCTCCGTTTTGTCCTCGCAGCTTTGCACCATAGAGGCATATACATGACATTTGATTGGTACAATAACAAAACGATAACAGGTAAAAATATTAAATTTAAATAATTTCAAACTGATATCAAAGAATTCGCGAGACAAACTATTTGTTAGTGTAACTTAATCAACAACAACGGTTTATTAAGGTAGAATGCTCTGGTAACTGATTATTTCAATATAATTTGTAACGTCAGTGTGTTGACGCTAGAAATTTAAAATGTGCTTGTTTTGTTAAGTCAAGAATACTGTGAAATTATGATGAGTGAAAATACAACGTTTGCAGTGGTGTAGTTATATATGTAACGGTAGCGACATTGGTACGTCATATTCGATCAAACTAACGTTAATATTTTCCTTTGTCTGCATTCTACCTTTTTAAACCGAGTCGCTCATTAAAGAATCGTACTCTACAAGATAAACAATAACGTAAGTTTAGTTTCCCAACGGGCAACAGCAGGTATTCCGGCATTCTGGTACAATACACAAAAATATCAACATTTTGATGGACATAATATTTGTGTTACTTAACAAAAGGTAACAGAAAATCTACATCTCATGTGATAAACATGAATAACAATGAAATACAACACCATCTCAGTGCAAAGTTTCATTGGTATAACTACTAAAACAATGTTACATCCATTTCATCGAGGAGTGTTATAGAACCAAAAACAATACTCCGGATATATGACGTATCAATGTTTCCCTTCCTGACCCTTCCGAGTTAATATGAAGTCTCAATGGAATCAACTCTTGCATTCATTATCTATTTTAATGCATACGAATAACAACTCGGAGAAGTCAAAGAAAGGTTGAATGCTATGCAAATCTATAAAATACAGGGTGAATTCTATTTAGTAACCAGTGTTTGCATACCCCAAGCTGATATCTTATGGCTTTGAAAACGAATTGCTAGATAAAAGACATGAAAAATCAGTGACCAAATTATGGTTTACTGTACTGAAACCTTAATTATCTTAACTGATACTAGCTGGGGTATACAAGACGTCGTGAACACGTGTCTTGTGAGTCCGGATATTAGCTCAGTCGTCGTGATCTTGTGCTGGCTTTTGATGACTCTATCGCTTCTTTTTCGCTACTGACTTTGTGTTCTTTGACCCGCCCCCAGCCATTCCATCCTTGGCCTGCGCCCCTCCCGTGTTCTCGACCACATCAATCATTCCTTTCGACTGAAATTACAACATCCAGTAGATGAAATCCTTATTACCCCCATTGAAACCTACTCTTGTCGTAAAGCACTCATTGGACTTATTTCATTTCATTTAAAGCCATGATTTGCAATGTACTTTAATATATTGCAATTTGGGTTCTATTGTACAGTTTTAAATTTATTTTGAAAAATATATGAAGCTAATTTACGTATACATGTAATCATTTATATCTCGAACGCTTATGTATCGTAAACCATGCTTTTCATATTAATGGTATTGTATTATTGTTTTTACCATGTAAATACACACGAAGTTTCTCAAAGACTGATAGATAGATTAACACTTACCCATACATAAAAAGTGGCAGCTCCAGCGCTGACGTCACGAATTACCTCCAAAGTGTAAGGTTCTAAGACTTTTCGTGCTGCAAGAGCCACATCAAGAAAACAGTCCTTTGGATCAAACTGCGATATCTTCCTCATCACCGACTCCTTGCCGGTTTTACCCAGGATCGCCTGGCAATTCTTCCAGATCTGTTATATGCAGAACAAGCCTATGTTATGTACGCATCAAACTTAAAATTTATCTTCTTTGCAATAATTCAACAAAATTTGTAAATGGTTAAATATAAAACAAATCACGTTATATGTTGTTATTTAAACAAAATGTTGTGTGATCCGCGCCGGTTGTCGTTCCGGGTATGTAAATTAGCATTTAAATTAGACGTAACAACCATCTGCTTATGAATATAGAGACTCAAAGATTTTATAGAAACAACAAATAAATACACCCACATGTCAAAAGTATCTTAATTAAAAGTTCGATGAAACAAGGACAAAATATAAACAAAAGAAAGATTTTCATGAAGACACCTGACAGTACAATATAAATAAGACCATGTAGTCGAGTAGGGAGGTAGGTACATGTCATTTTTTTTTTTTTTTTGTTTAATTGAAGTTTTATTTTTGATACTGACTTTCACGTCTTTCCTAGGATGCCCGAGCAGTAAGAATGTCGCCATGAGGGACTGATGTACACCGTCTGGAGGATTGGCATACGTTCTGATCTCAGAGACAGCTTTCTGGTCCATATTAAGCACCGAGTGGCGTAGTTTTTCTATTCTTAATAACTGATCCTTAAGACGTGAAGCCATTGCAATTTGGAGGTCGAGCAGATGGTCATAATTTGCTTCCTTGGCACGTTCTATAGCACTTTCGAGAGCTTTAAGATCCCTCTTGGACGAGGCACTGTTCAGTTCTAAAAAGTAAAACAAATATATTGCAGGCAATAGTGTAGCAAAGACGATGACGATGTATACTGTACTACTCGACTTTCATATGTTTTAAAACAGGAACATACCAGCAATGATACGGGACAGTCTTTCATATATCCAAAATTTATCAGTTTCCAAAACATGCTGACAATTATGTAAAAAATAGATAGGCATAGACAGCAAGGTATGTATGTGTCTGTGTGTAAGAGTAGATGTGTGTTTGTGAGTGTATGTGCGTACATGTGGTGCGGTTGGAAAGATGAAGAAACAAATCTCACCCTGTTTGGCTTGCAAAAGTTCCAGTAGTCTCTTGGCCTTTCTGATGAAGGGGTCCTTGTCCATGTCCGGAGGCTCTGTAGATTCATATGCGAATAGACCACGTGATAACAACTCGATATCCTTTAATTCCATAGCTCTTTGTATCATCTTCTTGGCTGTCCGTCTGTTTTTTTCCTCGTCTGTTTCGCCATACGAGGCTGTGTCCTCTTCTGGTACCATACCAAGATTAGACATTAGCAGTTTTGCGTTGTCTTCAAACAACTCTGAAGCCGGTTTCCTGTCCACCTGATACTTAGCTATATGTCTGATAATTCTACTACCAGATTCTCTTTGGTATAGATCTAGTAAGTACTCGCCGTATTCGAACATTTTCGCACTGAAGAACTTCATCAAGTCCTGTTTTACAACCTTGAGTTCGTCTTCGTTTGGAAGGTCATTTGCATGCCGTCGTTGATACGATGCCAAGACCTCGTCGTACCCATGGGGAATAGGTATCAGGACCTCGCTATCTGATGTTTGAACTGTCTCCGTGATGATTTTGTTCTCTTCGGTGTCACTCGACACACTCTTAGAGTCGTCTCCTTTTTCCTGGCCTGCTATATGTCCGACAGATGTTATCAGATAGCTGTGAGTATTGTATACCCTCGGCCCTCCATTCTTCACTCTGGCGAACACATTTATAGAATACTCCCCAGCGACCGGTAAGTCGCAGTCAAACGTCCATTTGCCATTTACTTCCCGTACAACCATGCTCATATGTTTCGCTGCTTCAGTGTCAATTGTATGGAGCTCACATAGAAGATCCAAATTGTTCTTGGCAATAAAATTCATTTTCAACTTTCCATCTTTTGAATCAATCTTGGAGTCAGTATGACTCATCGCCTTCACCCCCATAATGTCTGCCAATGGTTTCTTCCCCAGTCTTCCGTCAATGACGTTTGGAAAAGGTTTATTATTAATGTCATTGCTTAGACTTTGTATGAGATAATTAAGGACGTTTTCCGCGTCACCTTCCTCGCCTTCGTCACTACAGTATAGTTTCATAGCATACTCGCCTGTCTGTGGTAGACGAACGCTGACTATGAATTCGCCATTCTCTTCTCGAACCAGAGCATACTTACTTAACGTTGCCTCGTCAACCACTGTGTTTTTAAGGAGCTGGTGTAACTGTACATCTTTGTGCGATCCCAATTTGATATCCACTACGCCGTCTTCCGTTGTGATCACGGCACCTTCGTGAGTCTTTGCTGTCAGTCCCGCCTTCTTTGCGTCAGCTCCTGGACCCCAACCAATTGCGGGGCAGTCAGGAAGAGGTTGGCAGTTCTTTTGTGGAGTTGAACAATTGATCACATATGTACACGTTAGGTCAAAAATGTCTGAGTCACGAACATCCAGTCCGAAAATGTCCATTTTGAACTTTCCTTTCATCGGAAAACGTAATGCAAATCGAAGATTTTCGGCTGTATGTTCATACATTACAAATCTGTCCAACACCATATCCGAATTCTGGTCACCACCGCCTGATCTGGCTTGGTACAACATATACTTGTACCGGAAGTGCTCGCTATCACGGAAGGGTAAATTGAATGATAATACAACAGCCCCATCATTTGCAGTTAGTAAGCACTGCTGCTCACTCTCTTTGCTGAAAGACATTCCAAGATAGTAGAACCGTTCTCTAATGTACACATGAGATTCAAATTCCTTCAGCGTAACTTGTTTTTCCAACAACTGCCACTGCGATTCATCCGGAAAATGTGTCCATATGAACTGGTCTGGGTTGGGTAAGAAGTAAAATTCGTTGATACGGTGTTGTGTTTCCCCATCCGACGTCTGATCTTCGTCCTGAGTTATGTTTCCATCCGAGTCTATCAGCGTCCATTCCCCAGACTTCTTGCCTACTACACAAGCAGAGGCCCAGAAGGCATCTATGAATCGCCATTCCCCTTTTACAAAGACAGCATTCCACTGAGCCCCCATGCTTTTTCGATCTACTTTTCCGCCGACTTCAAAAGCCGCGCTTTTGTTCATGCCACTTATTATCACACAAGGAATTCCCGCCATTCTGTCAAAAAAATAGGTATTAGCAAACTTAATGTCGATTTGAACATACCTTATTTCTAAATTTTCTACATATTTAAATGTATTAGCAGGTAATGTGGTAAGTCTGTGGATTTCCAAACATACTTTGGGTTTTAACAATTTTGTTTTTTATATGAAATTTATAACTGTACGTAGAAATTATGATGTGTTCAGGAAGCAAAGTTTCCATATCAGTACTGTTTAATTTGTCGAAATGTTTTCTCTTTACTCTGCACACATAAATATGATACACCTGTAAACATCACACATATATGTCACGTCCGGAACATTCCGGGCCGTTACCATCCCTTTACGCACGAATTGTATGTGTGATACAGTACTGTTCGCAGGACAGGGTAAAGTTTGTTCTTGTGTCATTGTATGCTAGTTGGCGCTGTAAAACTTACAACACCACTTTCATTTTATACTTACTGACAGAGACCGGAAACAAGATGAGCATGGTTTCCCAGATTATTCTGGATCTTGAGAAAGTATTCGAGTGGAGAATGTACCGGAGGTTCATCCTCTACCACAAGCTCAAACACATTTATTGACGTCACCCATCGAAAGATTGCTCTGGCTTTGGCGACATCGTCCCATTTCTCATTAGATGTAAGGTATTTGATGAGCTCCTTGAATGTGCCAATCAGCAAACTAGTTGGTGCCTGCAAAGAACCACGTGTTTCACAGTTCATCAGCTTCAAGACTCAAGTCATTCATTGACTTCATTGATAAATAATATTTGAATTTTCCGAAACATTGTTCTGATCCGGTTTTCGAGAGGAGATTTTTTTCTAATATCAACAAAACAGGAAAAACAACTAAAGATGTGTTGATATGGGAAATGGAAATATGTTAATGAAATCAAAACAAAGGTTAAAAAAAAGTTATTTGATAAGCAATCAGAAATCTGCACCTACATTAAGCACGAAGTCCTCGACATAACTATAATCCTCAATCAAGTACAACTCATCCTTGGTCTTCGTGGATGGCAAAGGGGGAGGTAACTTAGTTTTCTTTGTGTGATCATCATCTTTACCAGCGGCTGCTGTCCTTGACCCCTAAAATCGAACGCATGTATTAATTGTCAAGAAATTACCCATCATGAAAATCATAAATGAATATATACATGGATGTTCACTATTCTTGTTGTTACAATTCGATTAGATATGAAATAACAACTTCATCTATGAAAGAATTTTGGTTAGGAATACATTGTATTTGGATACTTGTTTTATTCGTTCGATAAGTATTTGTCAACGAAGAAAAGTGCAGTTACGTAAATACTATTTTTGGTGCCGCTAAGGGAATATAGAATGTGCAATTACACCCAAGACCGTATGAAAATGGTCCAGTGTTGTTATCTGGTCAGGTCAGTGTACAGATAAACTAACGTGAAGCAGCATATATATGGATACAAAAAATTTCAATATCACAAAATATTCGTAATAAAATCTTTGAACAATTTTAATAAACAGTAAAGACGATGGAATCATCGTGATTCGAATACCTAAATTTTATGCATTTCAATATCCTGGTTTCCCAATATTTGAAAATACTGGTGAGATGAATATTATAACAATATGGTTTTGGATTATTCCTGTACATCGTCTTTTAACAGTATATAAAATGGCATCAAGATTTAAATGGCATACAGTCGAACAAAACATTTCAAATTTATTTTTGTCAAATGACTGATTTGTCAACAAACAAGGTGAAATTAAAATCATTTAACCCTTAATGAAGAAAGCCATACCCACAAAACCTTTTTGGCGAAATTGAACAAAAATATAAACGGATTTTTTATACCTCTCTTTTAATAGGAAATCGGTAATTCAACTAGTGTATATCGTCCCGTAAAAGTATAGTCGACAATGAAATTTAGAGAAAAAAGAAACAAAAATGAGAACGAGAAGGTAATTGTCCCCTATATTTAGTCTGCCCTAAGCATAACTAAGTAGTTAAAAAAGGCAAACAATGACAGGTGTCTTTTCCGGCCATATAAAATCGTGGGTTTTACTCATGACGTAACAGAAAAGATCCTTAAATCCTAGGTCTTTAGCACATTGCTATGTACATTTATGTGCTTGATGAATGGAATCTAAACAAACACTTAATCTTAAATGTTTAACACAATCCCACCAGGAAATTGTTTATAAATGATCTGCTTGTGTAGTTCTGAGTGATATATAGATTTACCTGAGTCATTCTGGTTAAGCCAATTATTAATGTGCTGATATGGCGCTGAACAACACACAAGTGTTGATATCGACTCTAACAAGCACCAGTAAAATTACACCACAGGGGGAGATGTCTCCTGAAGTGTTTAACAAGGATCTAATCCTTTTATTGAAGAAGTTTTTATCTTAATCTAGATATTAGAAGTCATCTTTTGTTTTATACGAATAATCCATAACAATCTTCACTTCCATCGAGTACTTTATCTGAATGCATCAGTGGCCGTTAGATTAATGCCGTTTACTTACAGCTGTACACAATCTAGAAAGTTTGTGCAAACTTTGGGCCCTTTTAACTCACAATCATGTGACGTCTGAATCCTACCGTATGCGTACCGTATGAGAACAAATGGAAGATTCTCTTTGGAGTTTAAATTGTGGTCAATTTTAGTGTCGTTTGAAGTCAATACGGTTTGCTTCACGGAATAATACCTGGTCGCCATTAGACCAAACGGCCTTCACGTTATCACGTGGGGTTGATCGAAAGTTTGTCGGGGCATGTGCTTGGGAGATACGGCTATCGATTTGTTAAGCTGTCATCTCCAACACTGGCAGGTTAATAAATGCTCAATCAATACATTTGAGGTTAAGATAAGCAATCGCTGACAAGTACTAGTATCCCTACATACCAGCGGACAATGTAACCAAAACAAATCTCCAACAAAACGTATCATCCTTTCGCCACACGTTAAGTAGCGTTATGGTGAGATTAACCATGTGATCACGTTGAGATCGGAATTTAACACGAGTTTTCAAAGATATGTTATCCACTTAGTCCATAGATTGTACAAACGACACACGCGAGTCAATTAATAATAATCTAAGTCTTTCTCTAAATATGGTATACTGTCTAATTTGTAATATTCGCGAAACTTTAGTTTCACTTTATCTTGGTCTTACTTACATACATAAATACTCATAGACAACATCAGCATCAACATCTACTGGCAAAACCTACATCAGCATCAACATCTGACAAAACCTTCATCAGCATCAACCCTACTGACAAAACCTACATCAGCCTCGACACTTACTGAAAAAACCTACACAGCATCAACATCTGACAAAACCTGCATCAGCATCAACCCTACTTACAAAACTTATATCAGCCTCAACATCTGACAAAACCTTCATCAGCATCAACCCTACTGACAAAACTTACATCAGCCTCTACATCTGACAAACCTTCATCAGCATCAACATCTACTGACAAAACCTATATCAGCCTCGACACCTTCTGACAAAACCTACACAGCATCAACACCTACTACCAAATCCTGCATCAGCACCAATATCTACTGACAAAACCTTCAACAGCATCAACACCTACTGACAACACCTATAACAGCATCAACATCTACTGACAAATCTTCATCAGCATCAACATCTACTGACAACACCTACAACAGCATCAACACCTACTGACAACACCTACATCAGCATCAACATCTACTGACAACACCTACAACAGCACCAACACCTACTGACAAGACCTACATCAGCAACAAAACCTACTGAAAAATTCTACATCAGCTTCAGCATCAACAAATACAGACAGAACCAACATAAGCTTCAACATATACAAACCAAAAATCACAAATCAACGCAAAGCGAGGAAACCCACATTTTCATCAACAAAGAAAATCTCTATGAACATTAGCACGTACCGACTAGAGTTTCTTCACACCAACACAGAAAAATAAACCTTCGCATCAACCCATAAAATAATATGAAATAATATAGAATAATATAGCTTCGAATAAACGCCATAAACAGAAACTACGTATTCAGTTCATATACAAAATGTGTTATATCGTCAACATATAGAGAGAAATATAGCATGACGTCTTCACAGATAGCAGCGACACACAAAGACCAAATTAGTCTAATGAACATAACGCAAAGGCAAAGTAAGAAGAAAAAACATTTCACAATGATAAAAACAGTCATGAAAAAACGTTACAAAAAAGAATAAGTCGAAAGAACATTAAACAACAATAAAAAAACAGTCGAGGCAACATTACTAAACAAAGTAAGAAGATCATTACAAAAGGACAGAGTAAGTCGCAGAAACATTGCGAAATAACAGAATAAGTCAGAAGGACATTACACAAAGACCGAATAAGCCGAAGAAACATTATTCAAGGACAGAATAAGCCAAAAGGACATTACATAACGACAGAAGTCGGAAGATCATAACACATTGACAGAAGACGTCGAAGGAGCATTAATTAAAGACAACATCAACCGAAAGGAAGACAAGTCAACACAAACGATAAAGTATCAGTCAATACACAATGAACTAAACAAAACACACATCCAAAACGACTTAAGTAATTTATACGTATATTTGTGACACATACGTACGTAATACAGTTTTTTGTCTTCGAAGAATCATCAATTATGCCAATAACCAAAAGAATTCTAGAAAGTCAGTTAGCAAAACGAAACCCGTCAGAATATGTGAACTTACTTCATACATTTATAAATTTGGTAAAAGTGTGTCATTGAGCAGTTCCAAAGGAGAATCCAGCACCTGTGTATATTCTACAGTATTTGTTATATTTCAAACATAACACGCAGGAGTTACCACCATAACTAAAGTGTTCCAGGTAAATACTCAATAATCTTAAAGAATTATAAAGATACCACAGTGAAACGGCAAATTTTTATTAGTTTAGCAATAGATGTTTTAGATATATAGTATATTCAGAATGATATTTAACTAAAAAGACCTAATTTTATCTGAAGTCAAAAATCAACAAGAAAAGATAAAATGACTGAATCCTGGTGTGCTTAACGGTAAGAGTAAACTGGATCATAACTGGATTAAGTTTTAGATAATGTTAAGAACCAAAATGCTCAAGGACAAAATAAAAGTATCAAGACTAATTATTATACTGACTCAAAATTGAAATCTGGTCGTCGGAAAGACAGGTAACTATGGTAATACGATAAAATCATTTCATAATGACAGTCAAAGGTATCGGTAATACAACGAAAACACATTGGCGTAATAACACCAGACATCAATATAAGAAAAAACGATACAAAACGAAAAATCAGCGGTCCCCGATCAGGGAAACAAATCAGAATGTATCATTTACTTAAACTTTATAACAGAATGTCTTAAATAAATCTGCTACACATGTTATAACTAACTTTGCAAAAATTTCCCAATTCTGATATATGCCGTTGGATGAAAGTCTGAAATATGATTTTGGACAACTCAGTATACTCTAATAACTAGATATATCATGTATGACGTGATATTCAGAAAGGACGTAAGGAACATCAGAAGCAAAATCAGCATTGATATTCACAAAACAATGTATGTTTATACATGTACAACATAATAGTTAAAAAGAATGTTGTTTATTTTACATATACATAGAGTACCTCAGTTTCCCCGGTAGGAGTAGTCGTCTCTTGTTTATCGCCCATCCTGTCACCTATCATGCTCTAGGGAGATAGTTACATATCTCTCTGTATCGATAGTGTGTGTTAAATGAATCTGTAATGCCGACGCCATAGTCGACGAATAATGATTTTTTTGAAAAGCTTTGCATTACCATGAGCACAGGTCGATATTCGAAACATAAGTTTTCCATTAAATCTCATATTTGTATGGACCAATGTCTCAACGAGAGTAATTTTAAACTGATTTAAATGGCCAATCTCATAAATCAAACAAACAGGATCTATATTTTGACATTTATTCAATATCACTATTTATAATTTGTCTGTTGAATATACAATGTATATAAAGAAGTAGTTAATTTGATATATGTGAGTGTAGTGTATATTTAATATCTTGTTTTACATACTTAAGATAAACAACAGTCATATATTTCAATATTATGTTATTTATACTTTTTAAGCATACCATAAATATTTCATTCTAAATTTCATGAAGATATCATATTTTTTTTATTACCTCCGTTTTAGCTTGTTCTCCTTACACAGCTGACAGTTACCAATGATAAGGATAAAAAAACTTCAGTCAAGTGTACGATCTCGTCATTGATTGGCGAAATATTTAAAGCATAAAATTATCTTTCTATACACTATTAATCAAATGATTTGGTGTGTAGTTTTGTAATATCATTCTCCCGCATGAGAAGACATTTAAGTAATAAAAATGTCACAGATAACCGAGAAACAGGTTAGAAATGAAAGAGTTCTTTAGACCATATCTTCAGTAAATATTTAAATGCGTTAAACTGAATAGTAACTTGTTATGAGTAATACCTATTTTGACATGTTCTACTAATTATAACATAATTAAAAAATTCAACTGCAACAGTCAATAACACGTAAATGTGCCATACATGTTTCTATAACGTTCAAATCACATGTTTTTGCTGGTATCAGTATGGCTAGATATAATATATCCTATTCGGATATCTAACGAAGTATTGTGTCTTACTTACCGTATCAGACATTGCCAAGGTTAAATACAGGATTAGCTCCTATGTAACACAATATTTCTAAAGTCAATATAGGAATTTTTATGGCACTGAAAACGTGGCTTTTGGAGGGCGGTATGACACAAGATTGTCCAGAAACCTTAAGGCCTTAGAAATAATATCAAACTAATCAATACTTATTAACATATTGCAGAGATTATTTACGGTGATCAATAGTATGATAAGAGAGAGGACAATAGGCACAGCTCGGTGAAGATACACGGATTAATAGAACTTCCTTGGAAACCAGCAACCTAAATCCTCGCCAACCATACATCCAAGGCATTTGGCCATTTACCTAATCATGTATAGCAATTGTTCAGATATCCAAACTCTGCAAGCAACCTATCAGACAAAGGTGCTGACCGGTCTAAATGGCAATAACAGGACAAACATGTTGTATAAGGTGGAAAATCAATCGGTCAATAAAAAGAATGAATTCTTCAGATTGGTTTTCATTCAACAAGTACTAGTAAACAAGAAAACAATATGCACCTGTGAATACAAATCGCCGGTCATTAAAATGGGAATACAAATATGTTCATTTTCAAAAATATTCTGCATAATGATTCGACAATGGTACACTTCACATACGGCCATTCTAGGGCAAGAAGCACAATGTTTGACGGATAAACCATTAAATCATCAGGTGTGTAGATTTTACTTGGTTATTCATAGAATTATTGTCAAAACTTGTCGTAACTTAAGGTATGGTAACAAACAATGTCATACCGGAAAAAATGTCCGAATTACAATAACGTACACAGAAATATATGCATATATATATATATATATACGTATTGATGTCCTAATGATCAGAAACAGAAAATGGGCGTTAGGGGAATTCTATGAAAAACAGAGGAAATTCGTGGAACTGAAACGTGATCAGTCAGTTTAAACAAGTTATCTTTAAAACCCTACGTATAACTTAATACACCTAAATCACCGGAAGTTATATAGAAATAATTCAGGTGGAACTGATCAATACTTACACACATTAAAATACGAAACATTGATAAGGGCTTATATCATGGTAAATAAGCATATGGTTCTAATATTAAAAAAAAACAGTTTTATGTTAAGTTCAAATGTAATTATTTCAATAAAATAAAATAGCCTCTTTAGGAAAAGATATACACGTTAAATGGTACGGCTTGGTAAATCGTATAAACTGACTGGTTTTATATCGGCAGCAAATTCCGTGTCCAATGAACCGTGACTATCACGCCAAGGGTAGCGTTATTGTTACAGGAGTTCACATAAATAATAACAACTGTGTTCATACAGACATGACCTCGACTCCTATATGTTGTCGGTTCTATTGCTTGGTTAATATAATTACAAAGGCGTAATGGATGTTTGATTTAGTAGCAATCCTAAACAGAACGTCAACCATGACGTTATAATGACATAAAAGACAGTACCGCTAAGGGTTCATGTTTTTATAGGAACATTTTTATAATAATAAACATTTTAAACTGGCATACAAATATTTTCTGTCTGTGTAAATATTCGGTGAATGAGAAATCGTAAATCAGTGAGTTTACTAAAGAGTGATTTACACAATCTGTCCGGTTTACACATGATTGACTTAAATAGTCTGTCCGGTTTCGACATGTCGCCTTGAATGGGATACATATATCTTAGCAATATAAATTGTGATTTAAAGTTCCGCCTGATTTACGAAGACTAGAAACATAATTGGATAAAATGTAGATTTGTTGATGTAACATATCAGGTATTTTTTTTAATTGCTTACTGCTCCTAGACAAGCATGTTCTTAATCTTAAGTTTGAAATATCATATGCCTCTACTATCGCTAAACATGTCCTGAGTGTATGTTTATTATCTGTATTATCAATGACATTTAGAGCGTCTTCAGATAAGAAAAAGTCTGGAGCACTTAAGATGCTGGTATTGAATTGGATACACAACATATGTAAGACCATTTCGTTAATGTCAAACAATTACTCAGTTATACACATATTACACACTGGTTTGTAAAAGAAATACAAACTGGTTTATGTACATATCATATACTGGCTTCTATATTGCTACAATCTAGCTAATATATCACATATCAAATACTGACTTTTATTGAAAATACTGTATATCATAAATAATATAGGAGCCTGTAAATAAATTCGTTAAAGGTGAGAGTAATTCTATATGTGGTGAAGAAAAGGTAGCATTAGTTCTTACAGATACAGAAATAATACCAAGGTAATATGTATGGGATGTTGATACGTTGTACGTTTATTTGAGGGGAAATGGACTAAACACGGAAAATGAAGCACAATAGAATGTCTCAACACAGAGTGTCTGTACACTGGTCACTATCTGTTTAAATAGTGTGGGATAGGGGCAAGGAAAAGGAGCTACTGTCATGGGGAAGAGTCAGTTCACGGCGGTGTGAAGGGCTGAAATAAATGGAGAAAAAGACTTCTGAAAGTGTTTAAGATACATATATATACAGTGAACTGGGTAGTACAGAGGTTTGGGAGTAACGAAAAACAAATGCTACCTCTTCACAATTCATTCTACACATGGTGCGTATTTGAAATTACATGTTAATAATTTTTGAAATTTTTCATCCGTGCATTTTGTTACACAAGACACCAGAATACAAAAAATAAATCCTTAATCATGCTTGATATTAAAATCTGTTATTTTTATATAATCTTCGTGCATACATAGAAAAAAGGTTATGATTTGTCTATCATTTTTAAAGTCTAGTATTCTAGAGATATCACATGTGTCAGCTTTTGTCAATATGTGTTTCTATTTAGTAAACACTGTAGTAGGTCTTACCTTCTGATCCTCCTCGTCCCGATTCGCAGCCTGTCATTTAGAGGTATATACACAATGGAGTTAAGTTGCTAAATAAATGTCTTCCAATATAGGAACATAACTACATTTTTTACAAAAATTGCTCATTGTGTCATATCCATGAATAGATTTGCACAAAATAAAAACGAAGTGTAGAGAAAGCTTGTAAATTAAGTTGGTATTTTGTGTATTTCATATTCTGCAGCATGAACAGGAAATTTGAAAATAGAATTTTGAGCCGATTACTGTTTGGTAATTGTAATAAATTCACCTCACCAAATACATTAACCAATGCAAATAATACCACTTTCCCTGTCAGGTACTCACTCTGATCTTGTATTTACACTTCTTTGACGTGAACTCGATCATCAACACTATAGATACTTCTGAGTATATATATATATAATTTTAAGCTTAATGAGGAAAAAAATAATTTGCTCCTGTTTCTAGGAATTTTGATATTGACTATGAATATTTAGAACTTAAGGATTCATGCTCATATCAGGATAGAACAAATAAAAAAGTTTGGGTGCATCTAAACGTTTATAGTGACTAATTACACAACATTTAAACTAAAATATATACACATGCGCATTCCATGCTACACCATTGACAGAAGAAAGCAGGTGTGTTCATGATATATGTACATGAGTTCTTCCAAAAGTTTCTCTCAGGGCTTCCATAATAATTCAACTAAGATACAAAAGAATTCAATAAAGTTGTGTTATATACCTAAGAAAGTGGTAATCGATCGGATTTTTCTATAGAAAATGCTTTGTATCATGATGTTTTGCTTGCGGTACGCGAACAAAGAAATAGCAATTACCATTGGCGCATCATACGTGAATCTTGATAAAACATTCTATGCACATAATTGTCTACTCGTGTGTTCGGGATTCGTCATTATTCATTAGACGGTGTAACAGTAACTACGACACAGATATCTTAACGCTGAAATGACTGGAGCACAATGTTCAACGAAACTGTTAATATATTAATTAGGTTCGATATATTGATGATTTGTCAGTCATAATTTAACTGTCGTCTGATCTCAATAGACCTGTAAAACACCGACGAAGTACTAAGCTACACTTAACGCCAATTCTCGACAAGCACGAGCACTGGTCGCCATGCGTGTAGTGGTCGTACCTCGTCAGTATCTACAGGTGCGAACATCCCTGAGGGGAGACTGAAACTGTAAAGCGGAAGAACTCACGGGCATAGCAGACCGAGGCGTGCGAGCTACGGTTGGGGCTGCAGCCGAGCCGTTTAGTGCCGTCTTGCCTACATTTGGGGAGGTGGCGGGGCGCTGCTCTGCTTTTGTCGCTGAGCTGCTTCCTGATCCCATAATTTCTGACTACGTCCAGATCGTGTTACATCACTTCCTGTTCTGAAAATGAGAAGAAAATTAACTTAAATGAATATTTCGAATAAAGTCAGTTATATCCAATTATGATATTCTTTTCTAAATCGGTCAATGACGTTCTCTGTGCACAAAAGTTTTACATATACACATACCGTTAGTGTGTGCGTGAATTAAGTCAAATGTTTTGTTCCTCTCTAATTCATACAAGAAAATATTTTCCACTGAAGTTTTCCTTTTCAGCTGAACAGATATGCCGTCTAGAAATACGGATAATTGTATTTCATCTAGAAAGGGTCCAGGTAATAGATAATTTGTGACGTGGAGTTGACTTCACAGATCGCACAATCACGCTGGGGTTTAAATTGTTCATACGATACAGGACCTGATGTTTATTAAATGGTATGTATATGTACTCCATTGACGCCCACTGTTTACAGAATGCCGATACTTCAGACCAGTTAGCTCATGTCTTTGATATCTAAATATAGACATACATCCTGGATTTTATACTTTTAAGTTTCCCTAGTACATTTAAATGGCGTATTGATATGTTAGCGCTAAATACACTAGTCCGTTTGTAGTCATACGAATGTTTTGCACGGTTACGTTTTCCATCATCAGTATGCATACTTTCACGCTAACTTACCTTTACAGACCATCTATAATATTAATGTGACTGGCAATTCCCTCAGTCATTCATTCTACATAACTTTTTACTATACGAAAATCATTCCATAAAGTGTTGAAAGCGTATGCACTCGGTCATGTTATGCTTGTGCAGGATTGTTGGTAGAAGACGTAACTTTTCCCAAACTCATTCCATAAATGTAAGCATATCAAAAGGGAAAAAATGTGAAAACAGTTATCGAGTATATTGTTCTGCCTGTCAATTTACAGAAATACTTATCTTTCACACGTGATCGAGATAGCTTTGTTTGGCGCGAGTCTGTAGAAACAGTGTAAACAAAGGGACTATGTCCACATTAGGACAAATAGCAAATTGCTTATGCATTAGTTCACATACCAAGCATTGCTGTTTGCTGTCAAACAATGGGGCGACTAAATATGATAATGGATTATTGGAGAGAGAAACTAAAATGAACATGTCAACTTACTCTCACTCATTCCATTATGGGCATCATTTGTCTCGTGTAAATTTTACATGTTTGATCTACTGACTTGGTTGTCGACGAACAGTGTAACAGTGAACAATACTGACTTCGTCACTAACGAACAGTGAACAATACTGACTTCGTCACTAACGAACAGTGAACAATACTGACTTCGTCACTAACGAACAGTGTAACAGTGAACAATACTGCTTCGTCACTAACGAACAGTGAACAATACTGACTTCGTCTCACACGAACAGTGAAACAGTGAACAATACTGACTTCGTCACTAACGAACAGTGAACAATACTGACTTCGTCACTAACGAACAGTGAAACAGTGAACAATCCTGACTTCGTCACTAACGAACAGTGAACAATACTGACTTCGTCTCACACGAACAGTGAAACAGTGAACAATACTGACTTAGTCTCACACGAACAGTGAAACAGTAAACAATACTAACTTCGTCACTAACGACCAGTGAACAATCCTGACTTCGTCACTAACGAACAGTGAACAATACTGACTTCGTCACTAACGAACAGTGAAGCAGTTAACAATATTGACTTCGTCACTAACGAACAGTGAAACAGTGAGCAATTTTGACACCGTCATTCATGATCAGTGAAACAGTGAGCAATTTTGACACCGTCATTCATGATCAGTGAAACAGTGAGCAATTTTGACACCGTCATTAATGATCAGTGTAAGACATAAACAGAAAATCATTCTGATGTTTTGCACGCTCAGGGTTCGATATTGAAACGCTATCGCCTCGAGACATGGGACATGACGCACCACATTGAAAAAGTTGTTGCAGAGACGTGGATAACTGATAAGGTTGTTTTGACAGTCATGTCTCGTGAAGCTTTGTGCCAAAATTGTGAAAATGCATTAAGGGTCTATCGCTTAGCTGGTACCTACGTTCACTTAGCACGTGACTTCTACCTGTCGTTCATATTACACCGTTTACATATAGCTATCTTTGATAATACATCAGACTTTTAACCGATACATATCATAAAATTAGAGCCGACAAGTAAACCGAGAAGGTATGCTACATATTTTTTGTTGGTGAATGGGGACAAAATCGAAACACCCGTCTGTGTATGTATTCGAGGTCAACAAACTTGCCAATAAACAGGAAAGGAATTTGTCATTGTTCGCATATTTACTCAAAACAAAATCAATGATAGGCTGGCTCTTTAGATTGTGCTAATTATAGCCTGAATATATATGATTATATAAGCGTAACACGCCTAGACAGACATGTAATCTATAACACCGGTGAAGTGTAAGTGTGAAAGCTAGGTGCTACTCTACAGAACATTATGTGATATATATACTCAGAAGTGTATATATCTATATGCATACCTTTCCAAATCTCACATCGATTGTACGAGAGAGACAGATGCAATGATTGACCGAAAGAGAAAAAAGAAACTAGAGAGTGCAAGAGAGAAAGAGGGTGAGAGACCTGTCCGAAAACAAATTAATTGAGGGCTCTCAACTCTGGACTTGCTTTCACAAAAAATGATGTGTTTGAACATTTTACTGAAAACTGAAGAACATCTTATTAAAAGATCAATCCATACACCAGCACATGCAATTGTTTTATCGCTTCAGACGTGTACTGTTTCAAATCATTGTGTAACTTATTCTAAAGAATGATTGCCTCTTTGTTCTTATGACATTTAACTTGCCAGTAATATCGTTACATGGTATTACATTTTGTCCATTCAGAACATTGATCTTCCTGTTAAGTAGATTGTCTGTAATCTAAGTTTCTATATCGTACAGGTGTTTTACTGTACATTACAGAAGTCCTAAACACAGATCACCAAATGAAACCAATTTTCAATATTTAATCTTAGTCTAAATCTACATCAGAAAAAAAAACGTATACATTGTATATGAAATCACTTACCTATATAGTTCGTGTTTCTCCATTACATTAGCAAAGTAATGATAAACATTTGTAATTACCAAGATAACAATTTAAATGCTGAAACACCAATAAGACTATTTGCTTTATCTAGTTATATAAACGGAGTCTAAGTGACTAAAAGGTTTACCATTAACTACCGTGTGTCATTGTCACCTTCCAATATGTTCCACAGTAATTGTGCTATTACCGGGATACTCTGATGATGAAGGAGATAGAAACAGTTCTATTTAGTCTTCCAACCGAAATGCTTTAACAGGGACTACCAGCGTGTTTACATCTGACATTCTAACGTTATGCTGTAAATGTAAAACATAGAAAAACGGGTAAAGCATGAATTCTTTGTGTTGGTGGAAATATCTGGTGTGTGGCTAACATTTAGCTGTACAGAGATAAATACAGGTTTTCTTCTTCATCTGTCTCTGTACTAATCCCCTATCTCTCTCGTACCGTTACACAAACCATTCGATCTCTATCACATTTACCAAACTATATCATTTATAGGAAAGCTTCCAACAAAGATTGGTTACTTTTGGACCGACCAAGAGCCTGAATTTAAAACGAATGTATGAGGATTAAAATCCTATAGTCATCATATTTTGCGACATGATTTGGAAACAGGTGTTCGATATATTCAATGTAAATGTATAGCGTTCCTGATTGATTTTAAGATTTACAAGATAAAGTTATGGCTTTTATCTTCTAATTGGAATGGAAGAACTTCAAAATTCTATGACACCTTTTAAATCCTGATTTATCATACTCGTCCAAAATTTAGGTAGCACTCAAGGCACTTTCGAGTATTTAATGTCGGGTAATAACACTAAAATATTTTACAGTGATAAAGTGATAAATTATTATCAGTTTCGACATAGCGCGCTCACATATGTTAACTAGTTGCCATTTTTATTTCAGTATTATTATATTTGGTAATTTTTAAGGTCCCTGGTCTCGCTTCCTATAAACTATATAAAAAATTATGCAGAAGACCCTTTAACAAAATGTCAATCATCAATACATATCTTAATCCGCGTTCTTTATCCAATTATCATATAGTTTTCTGAAATCTAAGATCTGAAATCCTTGACCACAAAGGAATCCTTTTAATCGTTTTATATTCATTCTTTAGACTGACCCAGATAGATATTTTACGTATGATTTTCAAATAATCTTTATTTTACCAGGAACGAAACACCTAAACAATCAAAAATTATCTTGCCTATAGCTAATGCTTAGAAAGCCTCTTTTTCGGTCAGGAGTCGTCCCATTTTTCAATAGATGGAGCAGAAAACAAGTTTCAGAAACATTTCATTTTATTCTCCGCGTACTCTTCATATTTTTCCTGTAATTCTTTCTTTGTTCATAATTTGCCCTCGTTTTATCGAATTGAGTGACACGCTCGATTTATTTTTGGTTACATGTCGATGTTAATGTCGTTGTACTCATTTCAATTACAAAACGGGATAGACAAAGACTCGAAAGGACCTACGGTCATTTGACCAAAACATGTACACATTTCTCAAAGGGTGGCAATGTAAACACACAGGTGATAAGATTAGTTAGTGATCCCCGTGCACGTCACATCTATCTCTATTGAGTTTATCTGTCCGTGTGACAGGTGCGATTGATTCCGCCATTTGTCTCTCTTCAACCAAACGTTGGTTTTGTTAATCGTCTTTAAATCAGAGTTCAATTTCATGCGCGTGTGATATCAGATTAGTCCTTTCGATTTATGACAAATGTCAGCATACGTAATGACAGATATTACTTAACATACGTAAATACAACGATGAAAAGCAAAGGATCGTCCTGATATGACAAATGGATTATTTCCTTGAAGTTATGAGAAGTTTTTTATCTGTTTTTGGCAAGAGAATTTATCTGCTGCGATTATCCTGGGTCACGGTCAGCTCCGGTTTTTT